CTGTCCTGGGGGTGGGATTTCCAGCCTTCATCTGAACACCATTCTGAACAATTATTTGGGAAGAGCTGGACGTTTGGTAGATCAACCACATACACACGTATAAATATACTTGGAGATCTCATTCTTAAAAGGCAAAAATCACTAGGCAGGGAAATAGCTAAGGTAGTCCTTTCCACATTCTGACCTGCGTGTCTTGTGATGCTGTCATCCCATGCACGTAGCAAATCTTAACAAAAGAAGAATCATCCACATGCATTGCAATCAGGGCCAAGTTTTCTCAGCCTGTTTCTTTGTTGGAAGAGTTCACCATCCACATACTTGCCTGTTACAGCTCTGAAGCCTGAAGAAATAAGGTCTTTATCTCATTCTTTGAAACACATTGAAATGTGAAGGGGTACTGTTGAACTGAGGGGTGAGTTAACTGTTGAAGGAAGGCCTTCCTTTTGCCTTAGCAGTGACCAGTAACCTCTAACCAAGGCATCTAGTTTCCACACAGGAAAGGAACTGAAGCAGGGCCAGCGTCTCTGGTGCCTCCGATACTCCTCGCCAGGCCACTGAGAGGCTGGATCCACTCTGACGCCCAGGCCAAGTGTTGAAAGTGAGAATTGTGCCATGTTTCAACCTGTGCTCTGCCCGAGTTGGGGCTGTGTGGAGATCTTCCATTGTCAGAGCTCTATTCAGCAGTCTTCATTCTCCCCTGAAAGGGAGGCCACAGCCGGGACCCAGGAAAATATAAAGCTGCTGTTAGAGTAGATACGCAAACAGAACTACAGAAACAAGAAACTTTTTTACTGGAGAATCCATTTTCATAATTGCCACAAGGTGATCTGGTGTTTAATGCACTACAACTGCATATCAATGCCACAGTCATTAGCAATCTCTAAACTACTATTTGCAGCAGAGATCCAAATATTATATGTAGCAATTTATAGAACCACCGCAAGTCACAGGGAGACTACAAGATACAAATCAGGCAATGTTCAGCAACTGCTGGTTCATAACAGCTACAACAATTTTCCCATCAGCAGCTCCCACAGTATCCTCCTCTGTCCCACTGTCTCCAGTTATAACCCTTAATGTGGAAAATGGACAGCTAATGCCATAGAGATGCTGTGGAAGGACACTCACTGCAGTTGTGTCATCTGATCTCCTGGATGAAGCTTGGGGAAACCTGTTCTGCATGGTGGTAGCAGACCATGAGGTTACTGCACCACCTCCAATCCCCCCCCCCAGTACTTTTTCAGCATTAAAAATATTTTCTAAAAAAGGGAACAAAGTGATTTAATTCCATGAAAAATACAGGCCTTTAAACGTTAAAAGGGCAACTATCCACCTGAAGCAGTGTGTGTGTGTGGGGGGGGGGGTAGGGCAGGGCAAGCTTGAGGACAGAAACAATGCTCAAATTGTTGGCACATCCAACTGTCCTTTCAGTAGCTAAGGCAAAGGGAAGTAAGCTCATCCCAGGGGAGGAAAAACACATTGATTCAACACAGATCAAACGTCAAGCAATTTTTGCTTATTACCCATCCATGACTAACAGGGCTCTGGGGTAAGACTAGCCTTCATAGCATTGGTACTGATTTTGCATAGAAGGTGGAGTGTAGGTCATAAATTTGTGATTAAGCTTTGTTAGGCGTATAGTTTGAAAACAGCATCTCTAAGGGCATCACACCAACACACTTCAGTTTGATCCCATTGGATAGTAATGTAGGTCGAGTAAGTTTCTGATAGCAACTGAGTAGCTATCCATACTGCGAGTGTGGTAAAGTATTCAGAAATACAAATACAGAAAGGCCTTTAACAAAATTAGCTTTCCCCACCCTGATGACAAGTACTGCAGGTCATATCTACTGACTCTAGATGCTCTGTGCTCCATCTCTGAATATCTGTTGCTAATGAGGTGCACCCTATGGAAGTACCCTGGCTTCAGAGTAGTATCCAATCAGATTAACAGACAAAGTGGTGCAAGGGAGACTATGGTTTCAGTCAGACTAAAGTGGAATGGACCCGGGGGTTTCAGCCAAGCACACTACAAAAAGTTGCCCACATCACAAAACAGTCACACAGTATGGCACAATTTGGCAGTCTCTCCTCAGAAGAGACTAGATGAGATACTGGGAATGCAACCACAGCCAACAAAATTGAGTATTACTGTGAGTATACCCAAGGAATAATGGTACGCTCTTTACTGTATATCAGGTAGAGTTAGAGCTAACGTGCAACTTCCCAGTTTATTTCTCTGGAATTCTGTACGAGGCCAATGAAGCAAAACTATTACTGTTAGCACCAGTGGAAAAAGAAGCAGTGAGAGACTTGGAAGGAGAGTACTTTCCAGACACTTTACTCTTCTTTTGGACTGTAGGATACCCAGAGGGAGGGGGACACTTTGGTGGAAAAGGCAATGTCTGGTGTACAAAGAAGAACAGAAGAAGACCCTGCAGGGGGCAGCAAGGAGACAATAGGATAGCAAGGTAAGCGCCTTCTCTCCTGTTAAGTGTGATTCCTTGCCTGTCTCCAGATTGCTACTCTCAGGGCAATTTCCCCCTTCTTCTCGGAAGTGCCACACTCAGTCTTACCCTCTCTCTCAGCTAGAGATGTAGTTAGGAACCTCTCTCTCTGTCTCTCCTCTTTCCTATCAAGTATGTTAATTCCTACTTTATCTACTCTTTAATCAGGTTGTGCACCATTGCTGTGTTAATTACTCTGCCAACACACAAGGCAGAATCACAGTAAAGCTGATTTTGAGAGAGCTTAATCACTCTCCTACTTTCACGAACTAGAATCAGTAGAAATGAAGCAAACACACTGCAGTTCATGTGCCAAAGGTCTACTTCCAGATCTCTCAGATACATATCTTTACAACAGACAGTTCTTTCTTGCATATAATTGCATTTACCATATTTGTTTTAGCAGCCTGACCCTGATTTTACCCTCAGCAACTCAGCCAGACTGCAGAAATACTCCTTCAGATAAGTTCAAGGATCTTCTTTAAACAAACAGTTGCAGGGTATGTATCCTAAGGCAGTGACAGCCCATAAAAGGTTTTAAAGACAAACCAGATCTATGTGAGTCTTTTGCCATCTGTCTTGAAGTGATATATAGTTGTGGGAACAAAACAGGTAGAATTTTCTGCATCATACAAGTTGAGGTGACAGTATCAGATTTCTGGGAACCAACTCCTCCACATTTCTGGTTTAGCACTAAAGCACCCAGGAACACATAAAGGTTCTGTGAAAATATATCATGAAATTGTCAATAAAACTAGGATGTAATTTTGCTTGCAGACTTGCAGATTCAAGTACCCTGTACCATTGGTTGCTTTCTAGATTTCCTTATTAAATGAACTTCTTAACACTTTAATTGCTCATAACAGAATGTAAAGGTTTAGATTCAGTAGGCGGAAAAAAACCTTTTGCCTGGGGAGCTATGACATGTAAACCTGAAACAGGGTGCAATGCTGCCCCACAGCATTTCAAAATGCTGTTATAAACTGCATCACAGTTACCGACACGGCAATTAACTGTTTCCGACAGGTGAAGTCTGCAACCCTATATAATGCTGCAGTTGTTCATGTTTCTCAGACTGTGGCTCTTGCACCAAACAAAGCAGAAACAAGACAGGCTCTTCCCCACTTCACTGGCTACTCTAAGTGTAGCAGTGATGTAATCACAAACTATGTTTATTATGGAATGTGCAAAAATAATAGTGATTCAACCAGTGCAAGCCCTGAAGGAACAGGCAGCTTTTGAACAGAACATCTGGTGAATTATAACTGGACTCTTTGTTTAGAACCTGCAACAGATTGTATAAAAATCCCAGACATGGAACATGTACCTGCAAAGCTACTCTGAGATGGGCAGCAGGTGTCACAATAACTTCCACTATAACACAGAGTACTTTCACATTTCTTTTTTAAAGTACATGGGAACTAACTGATAGTCTGCAGAAGATCTGCTTTTAGGGGCTTGCTTGTGCTCTTATTCCCCTCTGCATTTCTGGTACTTGACAGCTGGAGGGTACTGTAAAGGTGCAGTGACCATTCTGCACAAAGTCAGGAGGAAAACCATTGGCTCCCACCTTCTTGATTTGGTTTGGCATATATTGCTTCAGCCAAAGGTGGAGGAAAGGATCTGTGAGGGAAAAGGGGACAGTGCGGACTTGTAACAAATTCACCTTCAGCTTGGCCAGCTTCACTTTTGGTCCTCCTCAAGGGCAGGATACAGCAGAAAATCACAAAGGGGAAGGTTTGTAGTGCTTTAGGGAGCTGGAGCAATAATTATGCTTTCTTGACTAATCAACACACTTCCAGGCAAGGAAACAATTTGAGACATGGAATGTTGGATGTGGGCTAGACCTGTTATCTGTTATGGTACCTTGGTATTCATTTTGCTGATGACAGTACCTCTCTTCCCTCCAACCATGCAAGGGTTACTAGAACGCTGTGCATAAGAATCTTGACACTCAGCCGTCTCCCCTGCTCACTCTGCAAGTCCTTTTAGTATGATGATTTAAATAAATAATACTGACCATAAAATTCAAGTCAAATCCTTTTTTTTTTCTTTGTGTCCTTGTTGCTGACAACAAATGCTATAATTTGTCAGGCTAAAATGCTTGGAAATTAGATGTAGAAAGATCTAGTTTAAAATCTTCAGGCTAGAAATAAAACCATAATAAATTTAAAAATTGATCGGAGATGGATCTAACTAATGAGAGATTCAGCAACGATGGCCTTGAAAAGCACAGGGCGAACCGGGTGGAATGGAGATGCTGCGGTGACATCCTAAGATTACTTTGAGTTTAACAAGCCATTGGAACTGGCTGAAAAGTTAACTAAGCTACAGAATCAATTTGGCAAGAATATACCACTTTTTCTGCTCTATTGATTTTTGTTGTTGCTGTTTGCATGATTGGGATGGGAAGGCAAATTGTTTCAAACACAATAGTAATTTGTCAGCATTGTTGGTTAAATACTTTAAGACAAAATGATGAGACACCTCCCGATGAAACTGATAAGAGTCTCCCAGAATTCCACAGATTCAATGGGGGGGAAAGTATGAGGCCACTGTTCTTCTTATTTGGCCAACAGCTCAATAGGTGGAAAGAAGAACAATGAATCAAAGCTCAAGGATGTTCACTGTGTGGAGAAGGTCACGGTGGTCCGTGCTTCCCCAAGTCTTGCTCAGAGCTCTGTGTTTGCACAACCTGCTGTGCAGAGACACTGGAAGGGCAAGGAGAGAATGGGAGAAAACGAGAAACAAACAATGAAAATAGCTTCTGAACTTCTGAATAAAGAAAGAGCGTTCCTCATGAGTGAGTGCCAAGGTGTAACCAGAGCTGATGGGACTAGGCAGCTGCCCTCCTCTGGCAAGTCTGGAGGGGATGGAGATGGTGCAGAAAACAAATATGGATGGGCTGGACTAAATGGATGTTTCAAAGGCAAGATGCCAAGGGCAGTGGATTGTGACAGGCAGTCAAATAGAGGAGGAGCAGCTGCAGAGATATCAAGATTCTCCAGGAGGGTCTAAATGATGCTCCTCTGCCACAGTCTGAGGTATCTTCCTGTGGAAACAAGAAGAAAGAAAGAAAGTTTTGCTAGATCTGTATGTGGTGAGGAACGTCACGTCACAGTTGCTTTCACACTGGGACTCAGTACACATTGTTCAAGATGTTTTTCCTGGGAAAAAACCGAACCATGACCTTCAGATCTAGTGACCACTCGGCCCACAGTCCTTGGCCCTATCTGCTTTTCTCTGTCTCACTAGCATATGATCCGAGTGGCTTCTATCCCATAGTAAATCTCTAGTGATGGAAAGGATTGCTGGCAGCAGGACAGCATTTCCTCACCCCACCTCCCGTTTTGAAGCTTAAAATTATCCTTGAAATAGTGCTGCTGGGAGATAGTCCTGCACCTCAGAACAGCATGAGGTGTGCTGAAGGAATGGGGGATCTGCAAAAACCACCCTCCCTCCATGAATGGAAATTTCTACGGGATGTCCAAGCCAGTATCTTTGAACCATCACTGTAATTAAATTCACCTATTAGTTACCCCAGAGATGGGAAAGGATAAGTGTTCTGTTTTTAAAGGCAGGGAAAGGAAGCACAATAAGATTAGAAGTGTACATCCAACAGTTTCTCTCAGGAACAGCAGGTACAATTTATGCCCGTTCTGGACAGATTTACCAGTCAGGGGTTAGTCACTGGAATGGTAGTACTTTGTTAAAGAGGTATTGTCTCCTCCTCTCAGTGTTTCTTGAGATGCTTGGACAGATGCAAGGAACATTACTTTCTAGCAAGATTGATGCTTGGGCTGGCAGGCTACAGCATTTAGTCATAAATCGCACAATATCCCCCAGCCACAATATATCCTTGTACTTCTGGTATCCATAGGCCAGTCTTCCCCTACTCACCGTTACATTGTAGTCAAAACAGATGTGGGGACCTTTTCGATATCGTGGCTTTTCTACCAGCTCACATTGATTGGGTTCTCGTGATGGAGCTTTGCATTGTCAAGGAAATACCACACACATCTACAACATACTTCTGGGGATATGGAAGAGGAGTTGGGTTGCAAAAAATGAAGTGCATGAAGATGGAAATCAGCCAGCAATTAGAAGGGCCATGTTCTAAGGAAGGATTAGTGTATTCTCCATGATTCTAAGGGAATAACTATCAACCATTTCATCAAAAATATGTTCCCCAATTTGTATTTACCAAGATAATCTGAATGCAGGGGAATGGATACCTGCAGGGAAGAGTCAGCAGACAATTTATAACCTTTCCTGCATCCTCTGATTCTCCCCTGAAAATGCCACAATGATAACTTTCCCCACCCCACCTCCCAGCTTGAGAGTCTGGGTGGGGGGAAAGGCTTTAAACCATTGGGACAGAGCTGTTATTGGTGAGAATGATTTTAAAACAGTCTGGAGGACATTTGTAGGATGCAACTGGCAGGCAGGAAAGGGTTAAGCACTTCCTTACTACTTGTTAATTCTCCCTGTAAGTGGCCTTTGGGAACTCCATGTGTCCTCTGTAACATCTAATTCCATGAGAACTATAAACTACATGTGTATATAGTGGCACAATAGTGTCCACTGTCTCGGAAGCTTTTTTTGTTAAGAAAGTCAAAGTCACCAAGATGTATGCTCCATTGAGCTTTCCCACACAGCCTTCTGGGACCCTGATCATGTGGCTGCAATTTGAATGCCAAAGTAATCACATGAAATTGATCTGGGGAGGTGTTTTACATAAATACAGCAGTGGATGATCATCACAATGCACCCCGTAGCAGACATTCTGTTGAAGCCGATCCTGTATTATGCAGCAAAGGATACCCTTTACTTCTGCTTGGAGAAGTTTGGTGGATTCACACTGACTGCATATTGGCTTTTCTGCTACAACAAACAGAAGGTTGGTGTTGGCAAGCCTTTGTGCATGGAATAGCCTGGAGAAGAAGAAAGAAGTGAGGACTTTTTGTGTCAAATGCTGCTGTCCCGCCATTTTTACCACTATTGTACTATTTACAGCAACAACTCAGCTCACCCTATGTAGGTTACAGTCTCCTTTATGGCAAGACAGGGCTGCTTCACATGCTTGCCTTTTATACTTCAGTACAGATGCCCAAGTACAAAGCGTATGCAGTTGCATATTATTCACCACTTTCCTATTCCAAATGCAAAGTAACTGATGGTGGCAATGGCAGGGAATATACCTTGTGTGTTTTTATGCATCATTTATATCTGCTAAGGGGTATGGCAGGTTCTAGATCTCTGAGGGTATATCTACATTACAGACATCAGTTGGTTTAATGATTGTTCCCCCCCCCCCCCGGCAACCCTAGAAAGAGTAGTTCTCTGGGGGAGGATAGGCTTCTTGAAGTGTTCTCAGCATCCTTACTGAACTACAATCCCCACAGTTTAGCGGGGGAACTATGACAGCTGAAACAGCGTAAAACTGATATATAAGTTGGTAGTACAGACTATTTATTTATTTACTTTATTCATTCCCTGCCTTTCTCCCCAATCGGGAACCAAAACAGCTCACATTGCTCTCCTCTCTTCCATTTTACCCTCATTACAACCCTGTAAGGTAGGTTAGGGCTAAGAGTGTGTGACTGACCCTAGGTCACTCAGTGAGCTTCCAAGGCAGAGTAGGGATCTGAACCTGGGTCTCCAAGATCTTAGTCCAGCATTCTAACTACACCATACTGGCTTGCCCTCAGTGTTCAGAGAAAGATGGCCTATTATTGGAGAGCAGTCAAAGCACACAGCCACATCAAAGTCTCTTTGGTTCTTTATAGCCAAAATGCCATGCATAGCCTTCCATCGGTTTCTGATTAAACTCTGATTAATTTAACTCTGATTAAAAACCCCTAAACCTTCAGTCGTGTGTGTGTGTGGGGGGGGTGAGGGTGGCAGCGGCAAGCACTTGGATGCCAGTATTTTTGGTCATCTACTATGAACGTCTACAGCAGAGATATCTTCCTGGACTGACCTGGAACAATTTCCACAGTCAATGATGGTGTTGTAAGTGTAGTTAACTGTACTAAAATAGTACTGGGTCTGTTTCATGATGCAGCTGGTCTCCTTGGTCTCCATGCTGTCTGCTGCAACGTCCTCTATTAGAACACACAACACATATGTAACAGAAATGACAAACATCTTGTTTCTTATTCTTCTGGGGTCATGCAAATTAACTGCTTTTTTCTAACCACATGTAAACTACTTTTTTAAAAAATAAAAGCAATCTTTTCTAATGATAATTGTACAAGAAATCATATTTCATCCTATGATCTGTCACCTGTTCTTTCTGTTTAGCCTAACATTTGGTTATGTTTGTTTTCAATACACAGAAGTGTGCACAAAAGATAGATGCCTTTCTGTTACTGTTCTGGGAAGACATTTTGTATTCGCTCACTTTCCATATTCCTCTCAATTATTCAGGCTTAGCAGGTTTATAATGATGAATTTGTACCACTGTACCTATTCATCATAAATGCCTGGTTAGATTTTTCCTGCAAGTTTCTTTTAGCAGAAGCTAAACTCAGCTATTTCATTATAAGCAAAGTGTCACACATCTTTTTTTGGCACACTACGGTCCCTGCCACACGGCAGGGAAAACGACGGTCGAACCGCGGCAAATGTAAGCCGCAGCAAAGTTGAGACGGCGCGGCGGGATCTCACGGATCCCCCGAGCCGCGGCGTGTCACTCCCCGGCATGATCAGATGCCGGGGAGAAAGCGACGGTGCGAAGGGGAGCCTGGTGAACTGCGCATGCTCACACATGCGCAGTTCAGCCAGGAGCCGGGGATGCACCGGCGCAAGGACGCGCCAACGATCCTATGGCCAGTGTTGCTGCGGCCCGTCGAAAAGAACCACCTCAGGAGGTGGTTCTTTTTTGGAGCGGATCAACGCTGGAAGGGATGGATCAGGGACGGAGATGGTACGCTCCCCAGATGTTGATGTGGGATCGCGCCCGTTTGCTCTGCCCCTGTTCCGTCCCGCTCCCGGCCCAAACGGCCTCGTATGGACAGGACCTCTATTAAGTTTACTGGTGGTGCATTTGGGTGTCTGGATGCACAGTATAATTGCAAATGTAACTGTATTTTCTAAATACCTATTCATGCAGTTCTGGGAGGTATGTATTTAATATAGAACTATGTAAAGATTATTACTGGGACAATGGGAGGCAAAACTAAAACACAAGGGTGTAGAAAGATCCCCCTTGCTCCAAAGCAACAGTCTCAAAGAAAAGAACCAGAAGCCTGCTCAAACCCTATAGTGGCCCACAGTAGCTCTATCACACTCCATACAAAGTAGTGACCCAACTACGGTTAAGAACACATTTTCTGACTAGGCAATGGGGCTAACTTACTCATGATTGCTGTTGTATGCTACTGTGAGATATCCTACAGATTTTACAGAAAAGCGGGGGTGGAAGGTTCTTGCCGATCTTTCTCACCTCACAGTTTTTCCAGCAACACTCTGATGACCCTTCAGCATCAGCTTTTCAAGATCTCAGGGGACTGCTGGGGGATGCTGGTGAGAAAGGCCAGCATCCATAAGCACCATTGTACTTGCACTTCATAGGATCTAACCCAGTAACCTTTTGCTATATTTATGCTAGATGTGTTTAGAGAACAGACAACTTTGTGAAGCTGTAGTGTTCATGTCTAGATTTGAGCACCCAGCTGAAGCAGAATTGATAAACATTGTAGGTGTGGCTCCTGGCCTTGGGTTGGGTAGGGAATTTGATCCTCAAACAGATTGGAGGTTTACATCCCTACTCTAAAGCTTTTGAAAGCTTCTGAATATTGAAAGCCTTACATCGAATATGTGGCAAAAGGTAGCAGGCTAATATATCAAAAATAAATTAAAATAGATATGGAACTAAACTCTTTTCTAGAGGTATCCAGTGAAATCTTTATGTGCTATTCTGCTTCTTTAATGAATAACTCCCAAAAACAATCCCAGTTCCCAAGTATGGAAAAACTACCGGCAGTCTTATATAGTTCAGTTTCCTTTTCTACATATAACTCATCTACACATTTTCGTACCAGCTTATCTCTGAGACTGGATGGACTGAGCCAGTAGGGAACATACCTGTTTGAAACCAGCTGTTGTAGGTTAGCCCACACAAGAACTGCTGAAATAGAGACCTTTGGGAAGGAAAAGGGAGACCCATTAGGTGATCACAGATAGAAGAAAATAAATACATATCGCTAATCTCAATAGGCTTAATGGGCCAAAGATATCAAGGTATGTAGTTCCCTTTTCCAGACCTTAGGGACTGAAACAATCAAGGTACTTCTTCTTCTTTTTTTTTGCAAAACAACAATTCCAATAGAAAAGTCAGAATACAAGCGAAACAGGTCGTACCATTCACAACTTTCACTACAATAATAGTGCCCTATAGAACCGTGTATAGACTTCATAACGTTCGATTCAGTTAAATAGTAACATCTTGTATTTAACATTGCAAATTTCTTCCCAGTCGAACCCACCTATATTGAGTCTATCTAGTAAAGGATACCAAGCATGCATTGGACTCATCAAGTCGCATTCCGTTTGAGTTTCTGTGTAAAACGTATTAAAATTCTCTAGTAAAAATAGGTCCCAAACCTTATGCACCCAATGTTGTATACTTGGAGAAAGGGTTAATAGCGAAAATATATAAGATTTTACAGGCCCCGTTGCAAGACACCACGCTAGGTTATCAGCGGGCCTGGACAGATGATCTACAACGACAGATCACGGGGGATCAGTGGAATCAAATCTGGAGGTCGCAGTGCAAGCAATCAAGATCTTTGTATGTGTTTGAAGCCAACATGAAAGTCCTAACCCGTTGGTATCTTACTCCAGCTAGGTTAACACATATATACCCACATATTAAACCCTTATGCTGGAAACATTGTGGGGTAAAAGCGTCTTATATTCACTGCTGGTGGTCCTGTCCGGTCATCAACAATTTCTGGCTTCTTGTTATTCAAAAGATTAAGGTATTAACGGGCGTTGTAGTTCCACCCGATCCTTTGTTGCTATTGTTAAATTTGTGGCCTGCTGACTCACCCCTTGTACCCTCCTTGAAGATGATTGGTACGCTACTCACAGCGGCCAAAATAGTTATTGCCAAGAATTGGAAAGAACACAATCAAGGTACTTCTAGCTTTCTGTAGCATTTTCTTAAAAAAACAACAACACGTTGACTAGAACACTACTGCCAAACACTTCCTGCTTTGGGTTCTATGAGTCTTGTTGTCTATCTAGAGACAATATTCATGTTGTGTTTCTGTTTTGCTGTAAAATTTGAGCTTCTTCAGTAAGTGGCAAAATAGGTCTTACCATGCAGCTGCTGAGGTCCACCAGGCCAGGTTCAGGAAATCTGCCATGGTTGGCTGCATGTGAAGGGATAAAGGCAATGTGATACTGAATGAAAAAGCGCTACTTGTGAACATATCCCCTGTAAGCACAAAGCAACATGCTTACACTTTGTTAAAGATCAAGAATGAAGCCTGAAGGATTCTGTAAACAATTTATAACACCTCAATGTTTTATTGCATTTCTGTGTGTCTTGACTGTTTGTGAACAAGATCTCTTTTCATACACTGGCAGAATAAAAAATGTTTTCTGCTTATATGGCTTTGCAAATGATAAAGTGTCTACAAATAATTAGCTATATGGAGGATCAACTGCTACATGATGCAATAAGGCCAATAACTTCATGGCAGTCCAACCAACCCTGACTACAAGCATGACAAGGATATTTAGAGTGTATGGACAAAAAATGAAGGGCAATAATGTTTTTGAAAAACTTGAAAAGAGATTGCAATAAAATGACCTCTTCAGACAGAACTGTCTCCCTAATAGAAGATTCAACCCCTACAACACTGTTCTTACTTTGCTGGGACAGAGATTAGGTTCTTGAAATATCTCCGTGCTTCTTAAAATGTGGTCTGCAGGTTACCTGCCATGCCTCATAGTATATTCAAGTAGTCTGCATAACCACAATAAAACTAGTGGAGGAAAATCCCCCCCCCCCGGACAGTGGTAAACAGCTAATTAGACTTCAGTTCCTTTTGCACTCTGATGCAGTGTACTGAATGCACCAGTGAAAGGAAAAGGGGAAGTGTTGTTAGATGTGTAGGTATTACTAGGTTTGCACATACTTAATGTTACTCACGGATATTTCAGTCAATACACTAACAGTCACAGTTAATTCTTACCTGACAACCACCATAAAGGAAGTTGCTTGAAAAACTACCACATGCTAGCCTCTTGATGTGGTGGCCAAAATGCACGAGAGCCACTTGTCCTGTGGATTACCCACATTGTGTGGTGAGTCTTCATGCCATTACCAATCACACTGCATGAAAATTTTCTTATAATAATATCCTCCAAGTTTCAGATTAAACCATCTTTTGATTACTTAAATTACTTGATTTCTTGTATACAAATTCTCTGAGGAATTCCCCATGTTGACCAGAACTCAACAAAAATCCTCAGGACTACATTATTGTGTTTCACAGACTACAACTCACCTATCTCTAAAAATTTGATACCTCCTATCTCCATTAAATATTCTTCTGTTTTTTAAAAACAGGAGAACTGCACAAATTTCTTGTCATCCTCAAAACTCTGGTGCTACCTTAAGTAAATGGTAGATTCACACTGACTGCATATTGGCTTTTCTGATGTGTAAATGTGAAGATATCTTCTGGCAAGGTTTCACAATATGTAGCCATTACTTACCACATATACCCCACGTGGGCCACCTCCTGTGTTACTTGGAGCTTCTGGAGCACAGACAGATTGAAAGTCATATGATTCTTTCCGTGTGAAGAAAGAATTGTTGTAGAGAGCAGACATCAGGTGAGCATCCACCTCGCTGAAGAACTTTCCTACCTGGAAATGGAACATCAGAATTTTCATCTGGAGTCTTGTGGGAGTGGTCATTTTCAATAGCACCACAAGAACGAGAGGGACCTTGATTCTACAACTAGCAAAACTACCCTTTCTTTATTCACACAGAGAGAAAAAGGCTAGGCTTTAGACAGGATTTTCCATTGCGTTTTCATCTTTGCATTCAGAGTTGATATGATGTATTTTTATATGTTCCACCTAATTATTTATTATATGGGTTAAGCTGTTTCTCCTTTTGGATTCCCACAATATACCCATTTTTCAATCTGAGACCATGTACTCTTGTACCTTATTAATTTGTGTCAAAACTTCAGCAGTATTTTGCTCAGGAGTTTATTTTGAATTCCAGGGCTGAGTCCTGGAAGAAAAAAATCTATCTGAACATAAACTATATGTTTTTTCCTCACCACTGAATAACTGTCATTTCCTGCCTCCTCACTTTAACTGGTTGCTTCTGGTCAAAGACCTAGGCTGGATTTTCAAATATAGGTGGTGAGCTACTACCATTTTCCTCTAGAAAGAAAACTCTCCCCCACCTTTAACCAACTTCCATCCACTTAAAAAACAAAGATGTATTTTAAAAACCCAAGAGATTACCTGAAGAGTGAAAGAATACCATATCATTTTTTAAAATGCTGATTTTGATGATTTATCAATAAGGTGTGCACAGATAGTTGAAAAAGCCCTTTTTTTATCCAAACACCTCCATTTAACATTGAAGCTTCTTGTTGGAAAGTCCAAGAGTGGGGGAAATCAGGAATCATTTTAAAGAATCCATTTTATACCAGTTTCTTTGCATGCCACAGAAATGGATGTGATCAACCATTATAAGAAGAGGCAAGGAGATGTATAACGTTGAGAGTATCACATTAGAGGGACATATATACCAGTTGGGGAAGATACCTATTGATAAAGCTCTTACCTTAACTGAAAACTTTCAAAAGTCCTAGGGTGATTTCCCACAAGCGCTGCTCCAGGCTCACTCTTCTCTTTGGCCCGATGGTACCTGTCAATTTCAAACAAGATGCTGTGCGGCCACATTTTGCCCCGCAGCTTCGCGCGATTTCCCCCGCATCTACTCAATCCTCAAAAAACAGGATTGAGCAGGCGCAGAGAAAATCGCGCGAAGCTGCGGGGCAAAATGCGGCCATGCAGCAGCTTGTATGAAATTGACACGTACCATCGGGCCAAAGAGAAGAGTGAGCGCAGAGCAGCGCTTGTGGGAAATCACCCCTACTTTTCCCAGGAGCACAACTAGTCGGACTGTTCAGCAAAAGTGTCTGTCAGTTGGCCACTAGGTGGCAACTAACAGGAACATATATGGCATAGATACTGGTTAAGTGTCATTTCAAAAGCAATAAAACTATTTCACATCTGTGTAAATCCTTAGATTTTTTTTGTAGAAAACAAGCACATTACCTGGGATGCATCATCTTCCTGGTTGGACAGCACCAGAAAACCCCCATCATCTATGAGTACACAGAGGAGATCCTGAAAGAGTGAACAACTCTTTGAACTTGAGCTCAGTAGCTTCTAGGCTCTGGCCATGGACTAACACACAGTAAAGCATTTGCCAGTGCCTCCATATTGAGCCAAGACAAAATCCTAGGAACACTAAAAGACTGGCACAGCTCACTGGTACAGCACTTGGTTCTATACATAAAGTTTCATGTTGATCCTTAGCATCTGCAGTTAAATAATAGCAAAGCTGGGAAAGACATCTGCTTGAGAGCCTAGAGAACTGCTGCAAGTCCCAGTAAATAGGGGTAGACAGACCAATTGTCTGACAGTATACGGCAGCTTCATATGTTCCTATGTCTAACAATGCTTTTTTGCCCTCCAGTGTTTTTGTCCTTCAGCTAGCTTCCCTTCTCCAATCAAAAAGGAAAGCTGGAGAAAAAGAGTGTTCAGGTTAGTTCTCAGAAAAATTGCATGGGAGGATCATCTGTTCTTTCATTCCTAAACACTTCTGGCACTTGCCCATGTGCAGAGATCAAGAAAATGCAAATTGAGCAGCAAGAAAAAGCAGCAATAGAAACAAATCCTGGAACATGTGCCATGTACTGGGGGTATACAGAATTGTATTTGGTTTGAAACAATCTGGTATATGTCTGAAACAATGGGCGATTTCTCACTAGAGCTGCCTCACAGCGCAGCGCCGTTTGCCCCGACACAAACATGTCAATTTCACACCCGAAGCTCCGGGGCTGCAGTTTGACTCGGGGCTTCGCCCGATTTCCTCCGCAGTTTCGTGATCCTGGTTTTTGAGGATCATGAAACTGCGGAGGAAATCGGGTGAAGCCCCGAGTCAAATGCAGCCCCGCAGCCTCGGGTGTGAAATGACATGTTTGTGTTGGGGCAAACGGCGCTGTGCTGCGAGGCAGCTCTAGTGAGAAATCACCCAATTTCTTTCAGTATGACATGTGATGCCTAAATTAAAAAAAAACCCAAAACACAAACAGGTGGTATGCTGTTTTATTTCCAGTATCCAACTCAAACTGGGTATTTTGATTTTTGTGCCTTGAACTTAGGGCCAAGCTAGAAATGACTGAGGGAATCCATGTGCAATGTTCAGTTGTCCATCTGTCCACATTCACAGTAGGAGGTAAGAGGCAAATTTTCTTTTACCAAAAAATGAAGCAAGTGGGCAAGCTTAACTCGCTTCATTCTGTTGCTATTAGTATTTATCCTCCAGTCCAGCTCACATCCAGTACTGCAGTGGGTTAGATGTGAATGGGTAGACACTTACATAAGTACAGGTGCCTCCACCTGGTCATGGCTAGTTTGGCCCTCAAAAGCCTTCTAGTTTAGAAGAAGAGGAGTTGGATTTATACCCTGCCCTTCACTTGAAGTCTCAGAGCGGCTTACAAACTCCTTTCCCTTCCCCTCCTCACAACAGGCACCCTGTGATGTAGGTGGGGCTGAGAGACTGCTCTTGAGAGAACAGCTCTGAGAGAAATGTGACTGACCCAAGGTCACACAGGTGGCTGCATGTGGAGGAGTGAGGAATCAAACCCTGTTCTCCCAGATTAGAGTTCGCCACTCTTAACATTCTATTAACAGAATGTAACACACTTGCCTTGTAATTAGCTTCACAGTCCATCTCACAGCTTGTGGAGGGATCACACTGTAAACAAAAGAAAATAAACAATGAAAAAGTCACCTCAGTTTTGCCTGGTTAAGCTTCGAGTCTGATTTAAAGCATCTCTCACCATCTTTACTGTATAAAGCTTAATAATGTGCATTTTTGGGTCAACAGTTGTTTCATAAAGGACAAGGGACACAACCCCTTCTCTTAGCAATCAGTCATCCATCACTTACTGCTCACTTTAAATATGCAAGAGGTCATTTGATGTATAGGGCAGAGGGAATTGTCCAAATGAATTGGAAAAGAGAATGAGATTATGAGGTAGGGTGATTTGCTGCCTTCAGAAAAACGGAGATATAGGCTCTGTTCAGATGTAATGAGAAATCATGATTTGTTGTCACATGATCAAGTCATGGAAGACCTTGAACTCATGTGCTTTTCCTCCCTCTTCTCCTTGTATATGACACTAATGATTTCCAAACTGCATGGAACAACAGACTGTACTTTGTTCTCTTGCCTACAAACCAGGATTAGAAACCAGGATTGAAGCATGGGTTAAAAACCTAGTTTGTAGACAAGACAACAAACCTCTCTGATTAAGAAATCTATTTTATTTGTATTTATTTGAAACATTTTTATGCTGCCTTTCCACCTCAAGACAGTAAACAATTGAAAACATTAAGATCAACCTGAAAAATACACATATAAAAAGCTATTAAAAACAACAACAATTAAAATACAAAACCAGAAAGGAGGTCACTGAAGAAAATGTCAAACAAAACGTAAGTCTCCATCCACTGGCAATAGATTAAAAGGTGGTAGTGATGGTGGTGGGGAGACAAAACTCCCTGGTGAGAGAATTCCATAGTTTGAGTGTCATATCTGAGAATGTTCTTTTTTAAGTTGCCACACATCTAACCAGATGATGGAGGGCACCCAAGGCATGGCCCCTGAAGATGGCTGTAATGGTCTGGTAGGTCCATGGGGGGTGGGGGTGGGATAGACAGTCCTTAAGGTATGCTGGTCCCAAGCCATGTAGGACTTTTAAGGTTAATACTAGTACAGATGCAAATTGGGAACCAGTGTATGAGGAACAATGTGGAAGTGATACTGAAAGCTGCCAAGACGTCCAGGAGAATCAATACAGGTGCACTTCCCACATCCATCATCTGGGCTTGATGTGATCATTTACTAGGGCAACCATGGTCATTTCAGTCCCACAACCAGGCCTGAAACTAGACTGGAAATGATCCAAACAATCTGCTTCATCCAGGAGTTCTTGGAGCAGTCCAGCTACCTGTCAGACTCAGGTCGATCATGTATAACCCCTGCTTTGTACTCTAACAAGTATTGACTCCATTTTCCTATCCCCTCTCTGTAACCATTTTCCCCTGCCTGTGTATGAGTGCGGTTATCGCCCCTCGCCTGAAACTACATTCTTATGGAAGGGGGAGTGTGAATGTGTGTAGGAGTAATGAGCTTGCAGATGTAACTTTCTATGAAGGCCTCAAGAAATGCTTTCTCACAGGAAGACCTCCTTGGGAGACACAACTTTGATTAGCTAGAACTAGATCCTATTGTTTTAGGTCTGTGTAGGTTGCTGATGTGTACAAATGGAATGTGCCCTCCTTCCCAACCTTCCTGCCCTCAGGTCTCAGACCTGACAAAAGATTAATTCCCTGCACTTCTCAGATCTTCTAATAAACTTTTCAAAATCAAAAGTTGGCGTGAAGAGTGAGTTGCCTGACCTTGACCCTACCCCTTGTTCAATCACCTTCAATCTCAACTCTTTCAATCATGACAAGCTTTAGTTTGTTGGGAACTGGGGTGGGGTAGGGAACTTGGTCTCAAGAACAAGGATTTCTAAGCTTCATCCGCATAATGGGAAAGAAAAAAACAGCTGGTTAATGAGTCTGATTTCAGCCATAGGTACCCTTTGTTGGAAATGTATGTGTTTACAAGGTCTGACAATCCAGTCATTATTGGGTTAACTTGTTTACCTAGTATTGCTATTGTTTGGACTGACCTGGAAGGGAAACCTGGCACAGAGCCAATGGGGGATTAGCCCGGGAAAAGGTGTGATACAGATTGGTTGTTTGTTTTCAGGTGACTTCCTTTCTAGGGGTTGAGAAGAAGGACAGATTCTCCATTATCTGTGTGTGGTCTGTAACTATGATTTGAACTGTAAGCAGCTTAGAAAATGTAGCTCTTAGGAGTCTGTTATTTTGTAGGTTTCCTGTATACCTTTTACCCTTAGAAATAAAGGTTTTTAAATGCAAATAAATCTCTTCTTTCCAATAGAGCAAGATCCATTGTTACTCTGAGTATTTTAAATACTTTTGACTATTTTACGACAACCTTGGGGGAATTATCCAAAATCAAAGGAGGGAACCTGATTGGTCATCAACAGTTGATGAGCTACTGTACTAACAGAGTTAAAAGAATTCTGAGAAATCCAGCTAGCATACTTCTCTGCTCCACCCACTTCAGGTACAAAATACAAATCATACTATTTTCCCAGGAGGACTTTTTTTAACCACCTACCCTTCGTGTTCCCAGCTGATCTCTTTCTGTTCGGTTACTTGCAAGGACCTTAAATTTTTCTGCCCAGGCCTCCAGGTCAAGTTTCACTCCAACCACTGGCAAAAAGAAAACTTTAGTTCATACAAGCTTCCTTCATTATTTGCTGAGATATTTGCTTTTCATATAAGTGGTAATTGATAGATGATGTAATCAACAATATTACAGCCTACGTATAACATTCTCACTGTAGCTTCTTCCTAGTCCCGGGGGGGGGGGAGGGAGCTGCTTATCCCTTCCCCAGACTAACTTTCTGCGAAAATCAGAGCTAGTTTTCACTGCTCTGCCACAGTTTCAGTAAGCAGAGTGATGACCACTATTTTTTTTCCTTCAAATCATAAATCTTAACGAAGTTGTTTATGTTCTTGGACACTATTTTAAAAATGATTGAAGCCTCTTTGCTGGGTTGGAAGGAGCCTAACCCACTGGAGTATTTACCTCTTTGCTAGGGTAGCTCTATTGGTACATATAGAGTCACATAAAGGTGAGGATGCCTCTCATACCTTCAGACCAATTTAAGGCTTTGTTTGTGGAACAGTCTAGAGGAGTTCAGGCATGGCTGCATCCAAATGGGAGACCCAACTGATGGTAGGCTTCTAGAGGCTTAGAACAGCTTCAGAACTTCAGAGGGCCTGGGTTGAACTAAGACAAGGTAGGCACTCTGAAAAGGGTATATACAAACTCACCAACATACTTACCTGCTGGCTTCAGGGACCTCCTGCCAAAGCTGAGCTCAACAGCAGTGCTAACAAGTATTCCAACTGTGTTGTTTTCCAGCTCTGACTCTTTGTAGCTAGCTATATGGAGAAGAGGAGAAGGTCTGTCATCGTGTTTGTTATGGTGCATGGTGCTAGAAGCACGACTACTATAGATGTGTCCTTGAGAGAAGGGGTGGTCACCCCAGCTCTGAAACAAGCTGTAGTGCGTCCACTGCTAAAGAAGCCTAGCCTAGACCCAAGAGACTTCAATAACTATTGACCAGTCTTAAATGTTCTATTCTTGAGCAACATAATTGAGTAGGTGGTGGTTGGTCAACTTCCTGGATGGAGTGGACTGTTCAGATTCTTTCCAGTCTGGTCTCAGGCCTGGTTATGGGACTGAAACAGACTTGGTTGCCCTGCTACAGGAGATAGGCAAAAGGACTGTGACTGTTGATTCTCTTGGAACTCTCAGTGGCTCTTTTGATATCAATCATGGCATCCTTCTGGACCACCTTTCTGGTAACTGGGAGACACCATTTTGTGGTGATTCTGATCCTATCTGAAGGGTAGGTTTCATAATGCGGTGCTGGCGGACTGTTGCTTAGCACTTTGGCCTTTGGGGGCCCTGCAAGGCTCTATCTTGTCCAATATGCTTTCCAACACCTAATGAAACCACTGGGTGAGGTCATCAGGAGATCTGGGCTGGGTTGTCATCAATATGCAGATGACACTAATTCCTATCTCATACTTCTGGCTGATCCCAGGAGATTGCAGAACCCCAGAACCAGTGCCTGGAGGCAGTTTTGGAGTAGATGCAGTCTAATAAACTAAAGTGTAATCCATTCCCAACAAGACAGAAGTGCTGCTGGTGAATGGATGGTCTGGGCAGGAACTTATGGTGGTACCTGATCTGGATGAGGTTGCAGGAACAGGCCTGTAGTCTGAGGGTGCTCTTGGACATGGGCCTACTGCTGGATAAACAGGTGACATCTGTGGCCAGGAATGCCTTTTACCAACTTCCACTGGTTAGCCAGCTATGGCCTTTCCTGGGCAGAAAAGATATGGCCACTGTGCAGCATGCCCTGGTTACATCTAGACTAGATTACTGCAATGTGCTCTACATTATGCTGTTCTTGAAAATTGTTCACTTCAATTGGTGCAGAATGCTCAATGATGTTGAGATCTAATGTGGTGTAGTGGTTATAGTGTTAGACTAACATCTGCGTGACCCAGGCTCAAATCCCCTCTGCAATGGTAGATTGCTGGGTGACCTTGGGCCAGTCACACTCTCTCAGCCTAATCTATCTCACAGGGTTGTTGTGAGGATAAAATGGAGAAGGAGAGCATGCTCCAAGCTGCTTTGGGTCCCCTTAGGGAAGAGGTGTGGGATATAAATAAAAATAAATGACTGGAGTGTTTCATAGTGACTCTATTACTCCAGTCTTGCCCATTTACATTGGCTTCCAATTTGTTTCCAGGCACAATTCAAGTTGCTGGCATTGGCCCTTAATGCTCTAATGGCTTGGGACAAATGTACTGAAGGACTGCCTACTACCTTACAAACCTATCTGACTGCCATGGTCACCTTCTGAGGCCCTGCTTTGGCTGCTCTCACCTTCTGAGATTAAACGAGTGGCAACCTCAGAGAGGGCCTTCTTTGTTGTGACACCAAAACTCTGGAACTTTCTTCCCAGAGAGACTTCCTGTCCCCTTCTGTTGTTGTCTTCTGACAGTAGGTGAAGCCCTTTTTTAGTTGTGTCTGGCATTCCCTTCGTGATCCCTCCTTCCTGCCCTGTTTTAATTGTTGCTTTTATGTCTTATACCTCATCTTAGTTTTGATTGTTTTAATGATGTGTTGTGTTTAGTTTTAATTTTTTAAAGACATGTTTTTATTATGCATGTTTTTAATCATTAGCCACTTTGGAGACCCTGATGAGACCAGAAAGGTAGAGTAAAATTTTTGCAAATAAATAAATAATAAATAATTCACTGCCTGCCAGTTGTTAGCACCGAGAGTTCTTCAGGAACTGTGGCACAGTCATGACAAGGAAGAAGGGACAGGCACATTCCCTGAGTGCAAGCTCTGAGCACTTAAGAAGCAGCATTTACTGCCTTGCAGCCCACAACCAGACATCAGGTGCTACAGAGAGCATCAGGCTTATAAAGAGCATTCCAAACATAAAGAACCCTCCCTTACTATTTGAGGGCAGGCCAAAAAACCCACCTCATCTCTCTGGAGATCCTGTGTAGGGTCATACTTACGATCCCGGTAAGGGGGCTTAAAGATGTAGCCTTTGTTATCTAAGCTCCTCCGATAGAAGCTGGCATTGAAGGGCTCTCGATCCTCTTCCCAATCTTCTGCAGCTCTTAAATGAAATTAACAAGCCCCATAGAATGTCACACTATTTTGGCAGACATTTCGTTTTGTGTATAGATGAGTCCCCCCCGTCAATCAAGGCTGGACAACATTACTTAAGAAAGAGTTTCCAGTGGAGGTGTCCCCAGGTGCTCTCAGAGATGCCAAAGGGTCAGGATATATACATTTGTTGTAAACAGGGATGTAAGCAAACAATATGTTTCACCAACATTCAGACTGGCATTAGAGCCACATTTTATCATTCTTTTAAAAATACCTATGAGGACTACAATCTTGCCTTTTAAAAATTAAAACGGAGATTATTTTGTTTTAATGTTGAAATGTTTTAAAGTTTTGATGTTTAGGTGGAACAGTAATGTGTATTTGTGTGTGTGTGTGTGTGTGTGCAGTGCCACCCAGTTGCAGCCAACTTATTGGCAACCCCTTAGGATTTTCAAGGCAAGTGATTAACCACATGTGGTTTGCCATTCCCATTGCCTTCCTGTGCAAAATCTGACTCTGCTTAGCTTCCAAGATCTGATGAGACTGGGATACACTATACCATTCCACATCCCCGAAAAATAGCACAGAAATGTTTTAAATAAAACGAATACTAAATTAAACCATAGCCTGACATAACACCACAGACTGTTTACCAGACCCCACTACTTTTCTATCTTGTCTGAGTGAGGGGTCTAGCTGAAAAACTAGCATATTCTTTCAGCAATATTTTTCGGCCCAATAAAATGTACCTCGACTCATTTTTATCCTCTTCAAATATGCAATTGTACTCAGGTCCGTACAGGTAATAAGGGATACTTACTTGTTAGGGAAAATGCGGGTGATGCCACCATCAGTGGCAACAAACACAGCAAGGAGGCTGTACCTATAACGAGGTAGAGACAGAGTTACAACCGCTTTATGCCAATAGTCCCTTCCTCAACAATCTATCTTTGCCAGGTGCCTCTAGCATGGGTATTGGCCACTGTAACTGTACAGGAAGCATCCAGTGAGCACTTCAGCGCATGGACTGTGCTAATGGTAGAGCTCCACCAGCATAAGCCGCTCCTCAGCAGTGCCTTGACCTCATCAAGCCCAAACCCCTGTGCAGTGTAGCTAATTACTTTCCTGCTCTTACCATTTAATGGCAGTTCACACTGCTTTAAGCTCTGAAGACTCAACTACACATATTATGAAGTGGCTCGGTAAACAGTGAGTATTGTCCCTTTCTGATCGCCAGCTCAGTTTCCATTCTGCAAGAAGGGTTCATGGTGAAGTCTGCTGAGTAAAATTCCTTTTTTCCAGCTAGAAGGCAATTTCTTCTGGGGCACCAAAGTACTGAACTAAGATCATATTTACGTGTTTAGGTCTTGATTCTTCCATACTCTCTCTACCAGCTGTTGTGTTATTCCTGTGTCCAGGATAAGGTTGTGAAGGAGGAAGTTGTTACCTTGGAAGAGAAAGGAAAGATGAATGTACAGCAAGCCAAAGTCTTGCCCACCAGCTATCTAAGAAAGGGATTTCTCCCCATTTGGGTGTGATAGATGGGAGTCCATTTTTCCTTGTATTCTTGTTTGCTGTCTTCCTCTCTGCTTGAAGAACCTTCTTCTCATTTGCTCCAGCAACAACTGAGGTCTGACATAAAACCTGCTATGTAGCATATTGTGGACACTTCCGGGTATTAGTTAGAATGCCCTGCAGAGGTTATCTGTGCATAAAAAGGGCTGCTGTGTGGCCTTAACACATACTTATTCTGTCGATGGGTGTTCGCAAGAGTAAGAAACTCTCTAGAGTGGACATTTAGGTCTGTTAGCATATTCTAGGGCTTATGCTATTTTTCACGGCTTTGTCAAAACATTTCAGTGAGATGCCTATGCTAGTCTATTGCAGTAGAAATAAATAGGAACCTTGTGGCTCTTTATTTTTCAGATTTTTAAATTTTTTATTCTAGTATAGACTTTTATGGATCAGAGCCCACTTCATCAGACACAGGTAGACACAAGGCTCTTGTTATAGTTGTTGATTACTCATCCCGGCACTGTTAAAACATTAAGAAGAGCCCTGCTGGAGCAGACCACTGGTCCATCTACTCTAACAAAATATTTCATATAATGGCTAACCAGTTGTCCTGGAGGGTCAACAAACATAGAAGCCAAGGCTTGTATGGCCATTGTTCTCAATGCCGTTAGTCCACCAATCCCACGGAAAATTTGCTGCTCACCAATTAGCAGGCCCATAGCCACAAGAGGGGGCACTTTTGAAGGCATGTCCCCATGGATGACCCCCAGCCCTCCCCAAGAAGATGCCAGACTCCCTCCCCAACCCCCAGGGAGCCCCATCAGAAAAGAGACGCACCTGCCTGCCCCCTTGGCTCTCCCTCAGCAGCAGTGTAGAAGCTGGGCTGGCTGGCGCAGACACAGTGAGGCACCAGGGTGGGCCATTCCCACCCTGGCACCAAAGTGTGCCTACGCCAGCCAGTTTATCCACCATACTGCTGCTGAGGGAGAGCCAAGGAAGCAGGCAGGCAGGGCAGCGGGTGGTTAGCAGAAAGAGGGGCCATCACCTCTTTCTACTTGCCACCTGCTTCCCTGCCTGTCTCCTTGGCTCCCTTCTCCCTCTCCATTCCTGGAGGCTGCTCCACAAATGGAGAGGGAGAAGGAGAGCCGGCTAATCATTGGGCCACTTATGGGTGACATCACAAATCACGTCACCACACTGATGACACACGCACCCCTGCACCCACCTCCTCCCTGAAAATTTTCTGGCTATGGGGCTGCCAATTAGTCCTACTGCTCAGCTTTTTTGGATTCTAATTCAGCTCTGCAGACATCCCTTAAGTCCGCATGCCTTGCTGCAGTAAGGTAACTGGTTGAAAGACAAGCCTAGGTTTGCTTCCAACATTCTCGAGGAAGGCACACAGCCTTCTTAGTTAATTTCTGAATGACAGTGAACTACCTACAGTTTTAACGAATGCATAATATCAGCCAATATTTTATTTGCAGTGTAATCTCATGGCTTTTTATCTGATTGATGAGAAGGGTTTGTTTGCCTTTGTGGCACTGGGGAGGGGGGAGGCGCCTTTGAGGGACTCAAAAAAGAACCAGCTGGAGGCAGTAAGACCGTGGCTTGTGTTTGGCTGGAAGTCACTGGCGAGGGAGAGGGTGGTTCCTAGGGACTGGAGCTGCCAAGTCAGGAGAGGGCGTACCCAAAGTGGAGAGCCTGTCGGGGATGTCAAGGACAAACTCCCTAGCCATCCAGCTGCAAGGCAGACACTGGGGGAGGATTTAAGAATGGTTGCATTGAGGAGCTGGGTGGTGGAAGTTGTGCAAGGAGCACAAGGCAGAGAGTGAGGCAGCTGTGGCGTCATGGGATAGGTGAGGGAGTTTAGGCAACCGGGTCAAGGGAATGCTGGAATGGACCTGGGAGAACCTGCTACCTGTCGAGCCCTTGAATAAAGTTTGTGGCTGCAAACCTGGGTCTGCACTGGTAGTGCGTGCTTGCAAGGAATGGGGGGGGGGGTCAACCCCTTCCCAGCTTTTTAAAGCCCTCAGCTGTGCAAGTCGGCTGACCTGACCTAGAATGAGACCCGGTGGCTACAGCCTTGGTATGGGCTTTTTTCTTAGGAAAGATATGCTATTATTTATGAGCTGCTTTTGTGAAAAAACTCCACCAGCACAGCTAGGATTAAGGATCAACAGCCCCATATGATTTGATTCAAAGCAGAATAAGGCTAGGCAGTCTTGCAAACTGGCAGCCACATTTGTCCTTGGTGAGCAGCACTATCAAATGATTGGACTGATGAATCTTGATATCACTGATAATTAATATCCACCTTTCACAATAATGAGGTAACTGATGTTACAACCATCTTTTGAAATGGGAGCTTGTGCAAAAATAATCCTTTAGATTTTGCCACAGGGCATGTTATGTCCACATATATGAATTTTAACAACCAGAACTTTGCTACGCTTATTTAAAGCATCCGCCATTCTTTAGTTCTCTCACCCCACCTAATGCCGAGCCTTTCCTGAGACGAGACTGTGCATCCACTATAAGCCCCTGGAATACTTACATTGCTCAGAGTCGGGTGTCACCTTTTCCATGAGGGCGATAAAGTTTTCCAGGAATTCAGTGTTGTTATCCGACAGGTTGAGGGCTTTGCAATATTCTCTGGGATTAAGGTGAAAAGATTTGTAGTGTGGAAGGATGAAAAAGTTACTGTCAGTTTCTTTCTCTCTCAGAACTGATATAATCATGACTTTGTGTGCAATGTCGGTGAGGTAGTAACCTACATATGTTACTGTGCACGACAGCACTAGTTCAATATATTTGTGGAATAAGGGGCGTGGTTAGTATGTTACGCTTATTCATATGCATCCCATATCCTACACAGAAAGTTAAAGGGAATTATTCCCAGCTTGATGCCTGTCTATACAGGGCCCTGCTGTGTACAATGGGATATCATTACTTGTATGTACTTGTCAGTTATTTGTTTCGATGTCTCTGTGTGAAGGAGGAAGGAGTCAGTCAAAACACGTACATACACAGAACATACCAATGTGCCTTTCATGGTAACTGGGACCTATTAGGAATCCAAGTGGCCAAAGGGGACGGTTGGCTATGTCTTCTTTTTTTTAATGAAACTTGGCTTTCTTAAACTGCAAAAGACTATCAAATAATATGGAGCCAGTTCACATAGGAATGGCAAGAGTCTTGGAGAATTTAATGGTCATATAAAAATTTGTGGCCATCACTCCTGTTATTCATTGATGCCATCAAGCACCACCGGAAAGAGCTCCTAATATCCTCTTGGCCATAGCACCAGCCTTGCGAAATGGCATTGTTTTGTTTTTTGGATCTGTGCAACAGTAGTGCCTCCCCTCTAATTTTTGGTGACCATAGGTAGTTTTTAAACTCTAGGGTACTGAAAGATCAGTGACAAAAACAGATCTTCCTCCATTTAAGTTCTTTGAGGTTCCTCCTTTCCGCTGACTTCCAGTTTAGCCTGTATGGCCCCATTACTATCTTTAATATAACTAAATGAACTAAATTGGATAGTCAGTGCTCTCCAGGATAGGAGTCCTGTGCTTTTTAAAAGTCGTGCCACCTAGAAGGGGCGTAGAAGCCCCTGGAAGAAGTCAACATAGGTTAGTGCATGGACATCATTGTCTGAGGGTTTTATCAGTATGTATTATTGCAGTCTATTAAATGTATCTTATTGAGCAACTTTGGAAAACAGTCGTGGGATCCCAAAAATATTGGCTTTGTAGTTCTAAAACAGAACATTTTATTTTAATCTGCTTTATCCTGATTGCTAGAACTTCCTTTAAGCCTTCTTCCTTAGGTTTTAGCTGGTCTTAGCCTTAGGTCTTTTAGCTGGAAGCTTAAGATGCAAAGAGTATATTACTAAAGTCTATGTTCTCCCTATAAATCTGGTCTTTCTAGAGGAGGAACTGGAGGGCAGTCCCAGGAGTGGACTGGGAAGAGAAAATGTCCCTGGAGCAAGCCAAGCTGAGAGGCCCCTGTGCAGCTACTAACTAGTGCTGCAGTTCCACTCAGCTCAGTGGGGCCGACAGTGGGCACTAGCTCATCTATTGCATTCTCTCCCAAACTGGCAGCTGTGCAAAAGGAAACAATTTATGAGCTGACACCAATTGTCATTGCTGGTGAAGTGTCTGAGCCAAATGGCCCTTGAGGCGTTGGCAGAGTCCCTGGGGCTTCGTTATGCTTGCTCTTGGCCAACAGTGGCCTTCTAGGGCAGTGGTCCACCAAGAAAATACCCTGTAAGTTAAATGGCCTGTCTGGCCCTGGGCACTCTATTGACTAACAGTTATACCATACAGAGCAGGATAAAATATTTATCCCTTGGAACCTACAAAGCCAGCTAATGATATTTGATGGCATTCATACCACATTGATTTCCATTACAAACTAATGCAAATTAGGCATCTGGGATACAGGTATTAAATTGTTACAAACCTGAACTCATACAAGCATGGATTTTTGGTATCTTTGGGAATAATACCCATTAGTGCCTACTAAATGAAACTATCTCTGGCTTCCATTTCTTATATTCTCTCTACAGAAAGCAAATATACTCCCAAATAAACAAAATAGAGATAACAAAGAGCATAAGCCATTGCTGTTTATAGATGTATGCATTGCACAGGCCACTTCTACAACAGGCCAGTCTATGCAGACATAAATCTTCCCCTATTAAGGCCATTCCAATCCATTATGTTGTCTGACTATCTTTTCAACAACCGTTATAAGATTCCTTCCTCAATATAGGAAAAGCTCCCCAGGGTAGCCTGGGCTTTAACAATGTCACCCAACCCCTTTCTCTATGTGTGAAAGTAATTTTGTTTCTCTATCACACTAAAGAACAAAGTGAGGGGGATAACAGTTGACAAACTGATCAGTCATCTGAAAAGAAAGCGGTTGACAGTATCGGCTAAGCCAGTGACATTTCAACATGGGTTTTGAATAGATTAGGACTGGAACATTACCTTGACAAACACATGTTTTCTGAACCTGTGTTTGCCGGTCAATGGTAATGTAAAGGCAGGGGGCATCTGCAGGAGAGAGCCTTTAACCCTTCCCCTGCCTATCCTCCACAGCAATGCCTCCTTATACTCCTTCCTCAGGGTTATTATTTCTGTCCTTGGGGCTAGCTGTAAGAAGGGTTGTGAAGGGAAATCAGCAGATGAAGGAAAAATTCCACACCACCACTCTCAATGATTCTCGGTGTCTCCCCTCTGGAGAGGGGACTGCCCCCTTAATCGAACAGGAAGTTCATGGTGAGCTGTTGCCCTGGAGGGCCACTGGCAACCAGAAGCCAGATGAGCCAAGGAGCCCCTGTTGTGCTAGCAGTACTACAGGGTGGCTGTTCGGACCCAGGTGGCAGCAACAATAACAATAGGTGTAGTTGTGATCATTGCCACTGTACCAGCAAGATCACTTAGCTTAGTTTGCTCCAGGGGTGTTTTACAGAGCAATCCTAAGCTGGTCTACTCAGAATCCTACTGAAGTCTACTCACTGGGCCCTACTCCTAGGTAAGTGTTTTTAGGATTGCACTGTTAACGTCCCAGTCCACCTCTAACCTGCCTAACCTCTCATTAGCATTATGAAGCAAAAAATGGGACTATGAACCCCATGGCTGCCTTGATGCATGTAGTTCCACCCTCAAAAAGTAGTGTGGATTATGCAGGTGTAAGTGGAGTGCACTGTAATTCAGTAATGCACACTGGCTTCATGAGTGGCAGCAACATCAGTCCCAATTGCATACACTGTCATATACATAAGAGCACCGGTGAAGTGAGCAGGCAGAAACAGAGAAAACAGCAGGTTAAGCACTTGGTGACTGTGGCTGAGAGGCACTGAGGCAAATCTGCTCAGTTTCTTGTATAGCTTTTCCATTGATGTTGGGCTTGGGACATCATATGTATGCATCCTCCTATAAAAGGGGGATAAGGTACCTACCTGATAGGAAGGGCAAGAGGAGCTCAGCCTGTCTATCCTACTTAGTTTTAGCACAGCATTTTGGTCTCCCTTCCCCAAATAATATAGTGTGAATTCTAACCAATGCATGTCTGTATTCACCTAGTGCTCAACTCACCACATGCTCTCTTTGCCAAATATAGTCTCTTCACTGGCTCTGGTCACAGAAAACCAAGTCATTAAAATGAGTGCCACTCCCTTGGTTTGCAAAAGCTCTGGTGGGTCAGTTGACTTCATTTTGTATTCTATTCAATTTCAAAACGCTTCCTCCCTAAAACTCAACTCAGAGGAAGTGAGGGACAGGATAGGAGGGAGTGGAAGAAGGGAAGGTTGGAGAGAAAACACCGAGGATCTGTCTCATTTGTGGAATAAATCAATATTCCACAGTGCTCTTTAGCAATAAGAAAACAAGATGGCCAGCCATGCTTTGTCCCACAGTTATGCAAGGGAAATATTGCTACACACACTTACACATACACACTCTAGACATATCTGTATCCTTCATATAGATAGATAGGTGCTGTCTGTAGAGTGCAGAAAGACAGGTACATTCAGAAGAAACTTGCATTATGTCTCATATAAAAATAATTCAAGTGACAGAGTCCAGAGGATGCTCTTACAGATCTCACCCTTTCTAATAGGCTGTATTATATGAGTGTAAGATTTTACTTCTGTGAGCATGTACATACATGAAGGATGGTGAATTGTTCCATAGATCTTGCTGCAGACAACAAATCTATGCCTGGGACTATGCCACCTTACTTCTTTTGGAGGGTTTTCCATTAGCTGTAGGTGCAAAGTTCTTGTGACCATGGCTGACTTACTGGCTTTGCATTGCTAGTAGTTAATATCCAGGAAGTGGGGGTGGGGAGAGAACGAATGAGTGGTCCCATTCATCATTGCCTCTTAAGACTGAAGTGTAAAGGTACACATTAACTTAGAGGCTGATTTTCTTAATTATTTTCAATGCTGCATTGGACATTCTGATGCTGAAAAAGGGAGCTAATGAGTTTGCTAAGCACAGTTTATTATAGTTCCAGAGGCCTCTAAGGGTTCTTGCAGCTGACTACAGCAAATTAACAAATAAAATCTATGTAGTGATAGAGGGAAAATGCTACATCAAAAACAGCAGATGGCAAGGTTTCTTTATGATGGAACATCTGAACACCTGGAGTGTTGGCATACTCCATGCATAGTGGTGGTATCTCACATCACCCCTTCTTGGGAGTTATTTACTCATTCAGGGTAAAACTTGAAAACTACCATTATTAGAGGACCTGGTCATAATAGTGATCAATTAGCTGTCCTAACAAAACCTTGAGGCTAAGCTTTGCTATGCTGTGTTGACAGGATCTGAATCTTTAAATATTTAGCATGGACGGGATGAAGTGTTAGTCTAGTTCTGTCCAACATTTGTAAGGTGCAGACAAAACCAATTAAATGTGCACAGTGGTATATCCATTTTGGGTTTTAATCACCTGTAGTAAATCTTTTAAAAAGACTGGAGGCCTTGGAGAATTCCTGTTAGGGATAATGGCTGCAAAAGAAAACTACCCCAGTGAGAGGGGAAAGGGGTAATGTGAAAATGCTGTGGGAAAAGAATGACATTTCCAGAAGGAATCAAGAACAACAATGCCTTAGGGCTGCAGGGCTCTGGCTTTTCTGAAACTTTTCAAACAGGATGAGAGATGTAGGATGCCTACATACATCTCTCCCCCCCCCAATCAAACTCCAGAAAAATCTTTTTCTTGCATGGAGCAGGAGGCATAGCACCGATTGGCTAAATCTGAAATCAGTTATGGAACACTTCCCACTTTCTTGGAGGACAGCATTGATTAGCTGGCACAGGCAGAAGAACAAAGCAGCTTAAAAAAAGCAGAGGAATAAAAAGTCTTATGCAGTGGGTAAATACTGTCCAGTGTACTTCCTATTGTATCATGTTCCTCCAAAGAACATAAGAGAAGCCATGCTGGGTCAGGCCAATGACCCATCCAGTCCAACACTCTGTGTCACACAATGGCCAAAACCCAGGGGCCATCAGGAGGTCCACCAGCAGGACCAGAACTCCTGAAGCCTTCCCATTGGGGCCCCTCAAACACCAAGAATACAGAGGACCACTGCCCCAGACATAGTATTCCATGGGGGTTGCCATGTCGAGGTACATATCTGGCAAGGCTTCTCTTTTCTAGAAAGCTGCATACACTGAGTACATAGTTAGATTCTTAAGGCATTGTAACATCAGCTGTAGCATACTGGAGACCACATGGTCCATTTCTTGCCAGCTAAGGAATTCTATAACTACAGATCACAAATTGGTCAAGCCAAGGAAATTTATGTTCCAATCTTAGTGATTGCAACAATCTGCCAACACTCGGGACTGGCTTTTTGCGTTGTGTAGGGGTTGTACCAGGAAGCGGAAGGCAGCAAAGATCCTTGTGTTGTTTACAACTGGTTGAATTCAGTGCATTATGAATTGTTAAATGAGGCTGTATATTAGTTTCACTAACGTATGTTGGACTTCTTACTTGAGTCAGACTCAGTAACAAACTCTTTTAGGGACATGATGCTTTTGAGTTTAAGGAGGAAAGCCAGCAATGTAGATATATAGGTATATAGTGCACTCCACTTAACACCCCATGTTCGCTGTGGACATATTATTATATTGATTAAGAACCCTTTGCCATCACCTGTTGGTCTCAAATGTCCCAAGAAAGCTTTCCGTCTTGAATCTGTGTTGTTAAGTGGTCTTAGAGCATATTTATGTGAAGAGCCTGGATACAATTCTCCATACGGTATCTGTAAATATTTGTAATCATATCCTAGTGGAGGTAGCTAAGAGGCAAATCTATTCTACTTTAGTAACCGCTTTTGGTCAATATATTGCAAGTCTTCTTGTGTGGGTAGAAAACATTCTGCATACCCTCATCATTTTGTGGATCAAAGACCTATATGTACAGAACACTGTATCCACCTATATATCTACACAAATGTGTACAGATATATGTGCTCGCACACCCACAAATAGATCATTAGTGATATATGGTTTCTGAAAATTACCATGGGCTATTGGCCATATTAGTATAGATGAGATATCATACAGTCTCATTAGCATATTGTCTGCTCTTATGGGTGCTGAAGGGCTAACAGATGGTGCAGCTGGAACTAAAGAGCTATCACATGACCCAGTGCATTACAGCCTGGTGGCGCAGAGGTCTATTTGTTTTGACTTAGCAACCAACCTGATTAGGCACTAGGCTGTGAGAACCATTTCCAGGGGGGGAAATGGTTTCAGTATTTATTTGATGTTTTAAATAGGCCTCACTATGATATGTTACATTTCTTCCCTATGGGAGTCTTGGTTATGGTTTAAACTACTGAAATTTTGAGCAATGATTTGGATCTTGGATACATCAACCTCTTTATTTATGCCATATGGATAGTTGCTTTTAGCCCAAAAAGCCAAAGGTCACTGTTTGTTTTATATTGCACTTACTAAAGCTATTATTTTAGGGTTCACAGCTTATACTGGACAGTACAAGCTACTTGGTTTAAAACAAGTGTATCATACATGAACCTTAGACTACCAATCTTGAATGATGGAAAGATGGAATTCCCCACCTGCCCTCTGATAGAGTTATGCTCTGTGAAAAGTTGTCAGGTCCTTGTGATGTACAGAAATTAACTTAAAAATTTCTTACCCTCTATTAAAGGAGAAAGGGCCGAATAGGATCCTACAATGTGTTTCATAATGCATTGATTACTGAATTTTCTGCAGATATCAAATGTAGTATTGGTTTATAGAACTTGGCAGACATTAATTAATATTGTCAATGAGCCTCAAAATAATCATCATCTCATTACAAAAGTCTGAAAGAATTCACTTTGAAAGAATTAAGATTTATAAACGTAGCTTTTGTGATCTCTCATGTACTTCAATGGAATAGTTTTTCATTACTGAATATTAAATGGCAAGTCAGAAGACTGGTAGTAATATTATAACCCTTTCTATTATAAAGTAATTTCTGTACAGCCCAGCAGTCTTATCTCTGCTAACACATATTATTATTATTATTATTTTAGAACAATGGTTCTATTGTCAAATTTTCAGAACTCGGATATATTTACACTAAAAAAACCAGGGCAGTGTGTAACTCATGCTATCATAGTGTTTGCTGATCATTAGCTATTTGTGACTCAGGAATCCAAAAATATCAGTATACTTTCTCTTTTTTTTAAAGGCAAAATGTCATTTTAACATTAAAAATTAGTAGGTCATTTAATCAGGGGTCAGACAAAAACACCCAGTCACTCAAGATAAATAATGGCATACTCACAGCAAACAACATTTTTCTTGGAAATTGTTGGCCAAAATTATTTAACAGGGTATGTAGGTAGGACTGTGAATGATACTCTTGCTTTCTAAATGTTTATTTTTAACCTTGGATAAAATTTGTGTATGATATAGTTTTCAGATTTAACCAACATGAGGGCATAATTCCAGCACGATCCAAATACGGTTGTCTTTGTTTTGTGAGGATTTTCAGAAACTATACCTATATATGTATGTGTACATATACACCTCATATGCAGGCATACATATATACTCTTCGTATGTAAGTGAGTGAACAGAAGGTGGGACCGTATGCTGCCAACCACAGTGATGTTTCAACAAGGTGCAGGTGGCAGCCATAGTCTCAAAGTGGCACACAGGCATACGACAGACACAAGAAGAGGGAGGATGGTCAAGACTTTGGCACAATGAGGAGGTGTCAGTTCTAAGAGAGGTGGGAGTGATGAAATAGAATATTTAAAGGTGTGGAAAGGTAAGAAGTGGGGATGGGAAGGGGAGCTGAATCAGTCCCAGGGTCAGTGTTGGGGGAGAGTGGTTGAATGGACACCTCAGGCAAGCTCACACGCAAAGCTACCTTGGAGCAATGAATACATGTCCCTCGGACTCAAAGCTGTTTGGCAGCAGGTATTCAAAATCTGTAACAGAAAGGTAACGTTATCCGGCGGGGGTTTGAAATGAGGGAAGGAGGCTTCAGTCTCAGAAGATGAAAAAAGAAGAGAAAGAGAAGAAGGAGAAAGAGAGAGAAGAAGGAGAAAGAGAGAAAAAGAGACAGAGGAATGGACAAAAGAGGCAAAACACTAATTTTAACAAGAGAGAAAAGAGAGAAGATTCTTTGGTAAGTAGCATTGTACGAGATGGAAAGTTATAGCCAATATGTCGTCAACATTTGGAGTATTTTGGTATTTTTTTTTAATGTTACCATCTGAAATTAAAGATATTTGACTGATGGCATATGCATTACAATGGGACTATATATTTGCGTGCATACATACACACACATATATATGCTCATATCAATATATATGTATGTTTAGTAGGTCTTATGAGCATCTCTCTCTTATTACGATATTAACAAAGAAAAGAAATCACATGCTCTGCTCATACGGAAAGAGAATTACTAAAACAATATTTTGTAATAAAAATTATTTTTCAGGCATCAACATGGCCAAACCAGGGTCCTTTATGAAGACAGTCCAACCAAAGACTTACCCATCAGATAGAGGTAAAATGCAATGCATTGTAGAGGGTACAGCAGCTGCCTTCTGGCTGATAGTGGTCTCAAAGCATTGCAACAGCCATCCTTCCCTACTTTAAGCATGATACAGATCCTTCCCCTCCTCTAAGGGGAATGCTCCTCAAGCATAGATTCCAGTGTTGAGTTTCCAGTGCATATGTTGCATGCCAGTATTTCATCTCCTACCTCTCTCTCAACTTCTGCGTTTTATTCTATTAGTATTTTCTTAATCCTCTGGTTGAATAAATGGTCACATCTAGAGGGACTCAATTTAAACTGAAAGTGCAAGCAGCCAGGCACATGATAGGTTCACTCAGCAGAAGAACGCAGTATACGCAAGAGGTGCTTAGCTGTGCTGGTAAGGCTGCCGAAGAAACAGTCAGCCCATCTGCCTGCTAGGAAAGCAACTGAATAATGTTGATTTATACACATGAAATTTCTCTGTTAATCCCTCTCCCAGCTGGCATTAACAAATGAAGATGTGTGAGGGTCCTCCCTCATTAGTGCTGTCCCCTTTGCCTACACCACTGTGTCCCACCTCTTTGGGACTCCCCAAACCTCAGAACAGGGGTGAAAGGGATAGGAGCAAGGGTTACAGCACCGACGTCTGTCCTCTTCTTTCTCCCTGAAAGCACCATCCTAATCCTTCAGTTAGCCCAAGCCCCACTCCCCTGGCCTTGCCATCACTACGTGTGCTCCCACCTGGCTGGGTGATGGGGTACCACCCCTTTACATTGCCTTTGCCAATCTGGCTGGCACTTTTCTTTGCCTTCTTGGTCCCCTCCCTGTAGGAATTTCTACAGGACGATTGCCTCCTGGTCTCCTCGGTGCTCCACTGGGCTAGAGACCTTGGCCTTGGCTGTCCTTACCAGGCTATGGTTGGTGGTAGCTAGGGCTGCTGCACTGACAGTTGGCCTCCATTGAGGCTTCTTCCTCCTGCTGCCCAGAGCCTGCTGCGCTGAGTGATGACCTCACCCCGAGCCACTGCCTCCCTGCAGCTTCTGAGAGGGACATTGAGGCTTGCTTCTTGTCAGGAAGCCTGGGGTGCTCTCCAGTGTCCATACTGCCTCTTCCTTCCTGGCTATCTTCACCAGGTGAGTGGGGAGCAGGGAGGGCTTGTGCAGTGATGGACTTAGTGGCAGTGGTGTCCTGCTTGCCAGTAAGGCCACTGGGCACGGTGTGGAATGAAGCTGCAGGGAGGGAGGGAGAGGCCGGGTTGGGTGCTGCTGACCCCAGACAAGCTGAAAGAACAGCATCTGTGTGTCAAAATACAATGACGGGCCCAGGAGAACTCTTAAACTATCAAACTGCCGCTTTACAGACACTGTTGACCCCATCTAAATTCTCTGACAGTCATTCATAGATGATCCTGCCACACCTGTTGCAAAAGGAAAGGAAAAACAGAGTTGGGTGCCAGCAGCCCATCGATGACTGTATGCTCCAATTGCAGTTGCTCCAATTGCAGATGACATTACTCAGATGTTTCATATACGTGTTGAAAAGCATGGAAGACAAGATGGAAACCACCGGAGCAATTGTCTCCCAGTCTCACCTTCTGAATTGTCTTCTGGGATAGGCGAGGAACCCACTACACAGCAGTATCTCTCATGCCTATCCCACACAGGTGGTCCAGAAGTATACTAGGAATAAAAGCCACAGAGAGATCCAAGAGAATCGTCAGGGTCACTCTTCCTCATTGCCTTCACCAATCTGGCCGGCCCTCTTCTTTGCCTTCCTGGCCCCCTCCCTGTAGGAACTTCTACAGGACTTCTCTTCTAGTACAGGTCACTTACCAGTGTGAGCAAGAAGCCAGACTGAAATAGGTACCTACTTCACCCCAATGCACTAGGATAGGCCACCACCCACTTGCTTACTTCAGCCAAAAAGTTTTAGGTTTGAGACTGTCCATAATATAAAAGGTCCAGAGAAGTTTGCTGTAACAATAACTCTGCAGTTATTTATTTGAGGTACCAAACTGTCATGCAAGGAAGCAAGATGGTAATCCTACTACCAAGTGGGATTTATTTGCCTATATTAAGAACATAAGAAGAGCCCTGATGGATCAGACCAGAGATTCATCTAGTTCAGCATCCTGTCTCACACAGTGGCCAACCAGTTCCCCTGGAGGGTTGACAACAGGGCATAAAGGCCAAGGTTTCAACAGAAAGCTTCGACTGACAAAATGTGTAGGGATTGCATGGACAAGTAGCTGGGGTATACCGCATCAAGTACTGTGTCTGCATGGTTAGGTGCTGCCAGCTGGCAATCTGGGTGCCACTGCTATATGCTATAATTCCAAAGTAGAGTAGTTAGGTTGGAATGGATCTGGAATTCTGTGTCCAAAATAAAGATCTAAGGCCCCATGTAGATGGAGACTAGGTTGGAGCACTACTGGAAAAGGTCAACTGGATGACCACACAATGAAGCTTGCAGACATAAATCCTCTTTGCCACTGTCACTGCCACAGTACTTCTTTACTGGGTTTTAAATGATATTCATCTGATTCAGTACAAGTTTTTCCTCTAGTTGCAATCTAGCCATTCTGCTGCCTCATTGCCTATAACTCCCCATTCAAAGAAGGGAGAAGCTTGTGCTCTGGCTAGAGGGAGAGGACCTCTGGCTGTTGTGTCAGGGGCCTGAAATACTTCCCTATTTTGGAATCTGCTAGGGGATCAATAGGAGATCTGGCAAGGTTGGCCAAATACCCACCTAAGCCTTGGGGAAACCATCTGGATGTTTCTGGGGGGAGACTGTTCTAACTGGGCTTCTACCTATGTGGAGGTTTATAAGTGCTGTGGTTTCATGTAATCAGGTAGTGGTATGTCCATAACAAATGAATAATTAGTGGCTCCCCCACTGACCTTCCCTCGTTCAGTACAGAAAACAAGGTCTTGTGTGTATTCTGAAACTTGTCTAATATACACTGGGATGGCCCACAGAGGACATGTACACCCCATATACCCCCCCATAAGGAACTGATGAAAGATAATCCTAACTCTCCCCACATCATTGGTTTGCAAACACTGGCTTCTGCCAGGCATATCTGAGCTCTAATCACAATCCCCACAGCACAGCAGCAGTTAGCAATAATTAATTAACACTCTACACTTGGCAGCAGGACAGTACCAGCTATTAAGAGCACAGAGAATTAATTGCACACCAGAATTTACTCTAAATTAACAGCTTAACTACAAAAAACTCTAAGGCAAATAACACTCTGCTGAGCGAGGATCAGAAAACAGCAGAGATTTATTTTGCCAAATAACAGCAACTATAAAGGAACAATAACACCCTACTCCCACTAGGGTGAAAGATAAATGCTACCAATATCATTATCATCGCATTGGATAAGCATTCACTGGTACACATGAATAATAAAGTCAGATATGATGAATCTTCACTGAGTATACCTACTCATAGGCAGAATATTGATCAGAATCTAACAAGAAAACATTGACAATAGGGGGGCATGAACCCACAAACAAATCCCGGTTCGTGGTTTGTGAACAAGGTTCAGGAGAACTGTCTCCCACGATCTGCCCATGAACCTCCATGGAGGTTCATGAGATTCGTGGAACGGTTTATGCGGGCTCCAACAGCATTTAAATACCTTCGGAGCTTACTTACGGGAAGGTGGCCTGACCGAAAGTGAACTCTGAAGGCATTTAAATGCTGTTGGAGTCCACCACCAGCTTGTGGCCCGGCCAGAGTGAGCTCCAAAGGCATTTAAATGCCTTTGGAGCCCACCTCCAGGTCAGACTGGCTCAATTGAACTCCCAGAGTGAGCTCCGAAGGCCTTCATAAGCCTTCTTCTGCATCTGAGCCATATGAAAATATATGAATATTTCTGTACAGGTTTTACTGAAGCATAGTGAAAGGATAGAAGCTGGGAGCTGGTACCTCTGCTGGCTGATGGAATGTATTGTTTAGAGCAATGTATTGCAACTGTGTACATGTGAGCAGCAGTTTGGAGACACAGAAGCAATTTAAAGTCCACATGTTCCATTTTGTTATCTGGGTTCAGCTACATATGCCCTTCAGGATAATATGCACTACTCTACTGATGGAAGAGATTTTCAGTTGTGCAACAAGTGATATATGTTAACTCTGACATTTTCTAAGTTTTTCAACTTAGTGTTTTTATCCTTATAATGTGCACAGGAATGTTTATAATCTTGACTGAAACTAATCACACAGTTCAGTGATAACATTTCTAGGGACATATTTTATATATGACTTTACACTTTCTTCTCTTGACAGCCCATTCCTCAATGCTGTTTGCCACTAGAGACTCCACTGAAGTGAACAGACCCCATTGGTGAACTGCTTTGGAGATTATCAGCTCATCATAATTTTATCCAGCAGATTCAGATGTGATTCTTAGTAGTCTTAAAGAAGTATAAAGATTCTTCCTTAGCTCTGTGAAAGGAAATACAATAACCCAATTTACTGTTTATTTTATCTGCTTCCTAGTGAATTGCATACCACTTCTAGCTCTTCATTCAACTGTCTGAAAGTCTTCTGGCTTGACATTCTATGACTCACTCTTGGAGTTAAGTAAATGAAGGATAGCTGTTGCAGGCTTTCCTCTGAAGTACACCCACTCACTTTTAAAAATCTAAGCATAGTTGTATTTTTTACATTAGCTACAGATTGTCCCTTGAAATACATCAACACAAGGAAGCTAACTGTGAGACCACTCAAACTTTTCTCCTTCCCCACCAATGTCTCCCACAATGCATTGCAAAACACATGTGGCCCTTTGTCAAGGAACACAGCCATAGGTTGGACTGTTGTTTTTGAACAGGACTGTAAGGCAGGGTCTGGATACAAGCCAATGAAAGGAAGAGGAAAGGAATACAAAAACACTAAATAATTATTTCATCAGCATTGCCATTACAGGGTCACTGGGAGCAGGCAACTCAATGCTGATAGAACAGGGCTGATGACAACAGAACCCTAAGGCTTGAAATCATGTCTCTGTTGATAAATCCTTAGTGCCATAATGCATCAGCTAGCAATATTCACTTGTGTCTTTTCTTTATGCATTTTTGGCATCTGTTTACTTTTTCCTTCTGCCTTCACAACCCTCCCAAATACTGAACTTTTTAACGAGTATAATTCCACGTAACAAATTGAAGTAATCTCTATGGACAAGGATGCCTTTTGTTAGCACATCGCTGTGATTCCATAGTTGTTGTTGTTATTGTTATTATTGTTATTATTGTTATTATTATTATTATTATTATTATTACTACATGGGATTAGTGATTCAGTAGCATAGGCTGTAGGAATCCCTGTCTCCTGAAGAAGAGGGGGATAGCAAGAAAGAGGACAGCACATTATGTTACATGGGGACATTTCAGATTCATTAGCTATTGTGTACAGCAGACCTCAGTCCAATGGGAAGCCTCCTTTTACTGTCCTGTATGTCATCCAGCTTGTCATGTTAATTGACTACACTGCCATCTCAGGCCATTTTAAAAGTCAATTTTCTATGGATTCTGGGCATGGAGACCTGAATCATGAGAGTTTCTGGTTTGAGTCGAATTGTCCATGCATGGAAGGCACATGGCATTCCCCACATCCTCTTCCATCACAGCAGCCCCTTCTGTTTCATGAAAAGATCATTCCCAGGGTGGCAGGACTCATGTGGAGGAACAGCCACACTGGTTGGGGGGTTGGAGCAAGCAGGGATGAAATTGTCCATTTCCCTCAATGGAGCTGTGCTTGTAGAAGAAGAAAAAGGAGTAATTTCACCCCCTTGACCCTCTTCACTTCTGTCCCCCCCCCAACTGCATGTGTCTTGCAATCCCACAAATGATCTTTCTGGGAGGCTCGGACAGCGCTTCAGGAATGGAGATGAGTGTGGGAAAATTCCATGTTCAGTGGATGGAGGTTTGAATACAGGCATAGTTGATCCCCTATCTTTGTCCTGACAAAACTAGAGTTCCAGTTGGAATTTCCATGTGACTTAAGACCACTATATATTTTTTCCTTGCCATCAACTCACTGTCCATTAAAAAATATACAAAATATAAAATGTATTTCTAAGTGTTGTTGAGTAGTAAGGTTATCACGGTTTAATCCTATTTGGCATAGATGTTTCCGTGATTCTCTCTCTTTGTTTGTTTTATCAAGTTGCAACCGACATGATGACCCTGTAGGGTTTTCAAGGCAAGACATTCAGATGTTGTTTGCCATTGCCTGCCTCTGCGTAGCCACTCTGGTATTCGTTGGTAGTCTCCCATCCAAATACTAACCAGGGCCGCCCTTTGTCACAGAGGGCAACATTTTGCTTTTAGTACAAAGTAGCCTTTACCATCTCTTTTCTCTTTCTTTTCATGTCACAGTTGGATGAAAAGTTACAGCAAATGTTGAGGGAACACCTTTTATATATTCCTTAGTAAAGCATATGTCTAATAACATGGTGGGGAAGTATACCCTAAAGTACCAGCCTCAGTACAGAATTAGGGTAAAAGACTGGTCCAGGAGGGATTTATGAGGTCTGTTATTTATCTGCAGAACCTGGAATTTTACTCTGGAAAACTTCAAAGTTTCTGATTCGTTTGTTACTAGTTGTAAAATACTACTTTTACTGATCCACACTGTGACAGGAACCCAGAACCTGTAATCCTATTGTGTGTTCAAACTGCAATACAACTGCTCGGCGATTTTCAGAACATGAACTCCAAGAGCAGAAGAAAACAAAACCTGTGCAGAACCCGGTTCTACTGATTTTGTCCTCAGTAATGTTCTGTAGAGGATACAAAGCAGTTGCAACCCAGTTGCTCAGTGAAGTTACCAGAAAAACATCATTGGATTCTGAAGTCACTGGGACACCCTTGTAAATTGTGGGGAACTCTTACACAAACAGATGATTCAGTACCGTAATCAGGTTTTCATAAATGGTAACATTTGGCACTGTACACCCATTTCCTTCTGAGAAATCACTGAGAAATTCAGAGACAGTGAATTCAGAGAATGTTATGGAGATACGTCTTTTTGGGCACAGTAATGCTAAACTGCATGCAGTGTAGACCTGTCTGTGAGTCCAGCTCCTCCTGCTTTTCAGCTTGCAGTTCCCCCTGCAGGAAGCCTAAATGTTTCTTCTGTTGGAAGTGATACTGGACTCTATTTTCAAACACCTCTGAGTCTGAAGGTCTTTGCACAGCCCTGTCCCATTCAGGTTGAGTTGTCTTGAAGAGGAAGGAAAGCACAGGAACAAGGACAGGGGAAGGAGATTTGTAGGGAAGGTGTGAGACAGGGGGAAAAAAGAAGAAAGGGCAGGGAAGGTATCTTTGCAGGGAAGAGGAAGAGCAGGATATTAAACTAGCTACAAAAAACCTTATTGAATTCAAACATAACAATTCCATATGAAGTTGGCTCTTTAACGATACCGGACTGAGTCTCTGAGCAATGCACAGGGAAGGAGTGGGGAGATCAGTAGTGGTGAAGCTATTATGAACATAACAAGACATGTTGCTTTCAAATAAAGGGTGAAAGAATTTGAGGAGAAGGAGTGGAGGAAGAGAGGAAGGAAGGAACAGTTTGGTGGTGGTTTGCAAGGTTAGGCGTGGCAAACGGGCAAGGTAATGGGCAAGCAGGCCAGGTGGGTGGTAAAGGGGAGCGGTGAAGGTTTGGAGTGAGGGGTGGGGTGGGGTACTGGACACGGTTGGGGAGAAGGGGGTGGTGGAAGGGTGGTGGTCTAAGACTGAAAATACTTGCCCTTCACTTTGCTGATTGGTACTGTGTGAATCCATCAGAGAGAGAAAGCAAGAAAAAACAAACAAAAAACAGAAAACAAAAAAAAGGGGGGTTGGGTGGAAAGGGGAAGGGGGTACAAACAATATTTTATTCAATTGCTGTTTGAATAAAAATATTGTGTATCATAATCATACCAAAAGGAAACCTCTTGCAAAAACGACATGAAAAAGAAAACAAAAAGAGTAATAAAAGTACCAAGAAAAAGCCACAGTAATAAAATAATAAAAATGTATAGATATAACTAGATATATAGATATATATTATATAACCAACATAAAAAATAAAATTCAGTAGCAAACAGTTTGCAACAGTCTTGATATAGAAATGTTCTTACTGAGTTAGCAGACCATGCAAAATTCAAGATTAACCAAAGACATACACAGAGATAGAGACAGAAGGAAAGGAAACACAGGGACAGAGGAGAGGAGAGGGCTAGGGTGTAAGAGACCAAGCATCTCCCTAGGAATGTTTACAAACTCACTGTCACAGGATTGTCAGCCTACCAAAATGTGACATACGTGAGATGTAGGGATGTCTTTAGCATGAAGAGCTAAGGTGGGGAGGAACCTGGGAAACAGCCCTATTGGGAGAGAAGACTTGGCTGGATATTTTGCTTAAACCTGGGCTTTCTTTTGCAGACAAACCAAAACCATCTTCATACTGTTGCATGAGAAAGCCACATGCAATCTATGTGGCATAACCATTTTTTAAAAAAAGCCTCCTGTGAGGATGTGGATGAGCTTCCTAACGGGAATAGCAGAAGCAGATTTCATCACAGTGGCTCTGGAAGCAGCAGGTGTTGGATTGCTGCTCAATGGTGTTGGATTGCTGCTCAAGAAAACCTCGCAGGTGCATATTAAACCTGAATAGGCACACAGGGAACCCGTGGGTACCAACTCCAGATTCTGCTAGGTGAGCTTCTGCTGTCTCAGCCTACACATAAAGCCGTGAGTGTCAATTCTGCAGAATGCCATAATATTAATAATAACGAGTCCCATCATGGTCTGGTTCCAGTGCTGACACAGCTGCAGAGCCTCTCTCTTCAGCTGCTTTACTGAGCATTACAAATCTGAATGTGAATTAGCTAACTCTGGAGGAGTAGGTACTCTCCTGCCTCTTAGGATACTTCTTAGAATTTTAAAGTATAGCCCCCAGGTTGTTGCCTTCATATATAATGTATTGCTCACAGAAGCCATCTATGATGGCAAAGATGGAACTTCTGGGCTTAAAGCCAAATACGCTCAGCTGAACAGGATCTTCTAAAGAACCTTCTGGGAGAATGACTTTCCTGTGTTCTAGGTGCTTATGGGAGATGCTGTTTTACTGAGATACTCTAAGTATTCCATGGCTCCATAAACTAACAGCCATGGTGAGAAAATGATTGGCAGTAGAACACACATAAAATCTCATCTGTTCAAAACTTACTGGTACAATCTTCTCTTGGGGGACTGTTTCACCTCAGAAATATATATGCTGGCAATTCACATTTGAAAGAACTTGTCATAAGAATAGGACACGATGATATAGCATGCCAAGGAGAAGACTATGCTAGAATCTTTCTCCCTAAAAAGGCAGACTTCTTTGTGCACTGAGCAGGTGCAATTAAAAACAAGCACTCTATGAGGACTGTACCATGTGCTTTTTCCTAGGTTTGAATGAACTTAGAGACCACTCTTGCAGTTAAGCCATCTTGAGTGGAAATTTCAGAATCTAAGCTTATCTTTGTTGTGGATTTCCCTCAGAGAGAAATGGTAACTAAAGTGAGTTGGTGGACTGAGTTGGCTCTGTTATTAGGCAGCTGTCTCAGGTGACACTGGGGTGGGTGGCAATGTCCTGTCCTGTTGCCTCTCCCTCTGCTGGGATTTGTCGTAGCTAATCTACCTTGCCCTCTGTAAAACAGCACAGCAATCCATGCATGTGTCCTATAAGCTTTACAAACTCTTGTGAGATGTCCTATTGTGCACGTTGGGCTATCATTTGATTGCCTAAGCAACCATAATATATGGCAGGATTACTGCTCCAGCTCCTGAGCAAAGGCATGTATGTGTATGTGGAGGAGGGGTACCTGAGCACTTGGGAATGGGGAAGCAAACAGCACAAATGGAGGTGACATTTTGTAGTCTGCCTCAGGGCAGCACAATGTCTGGTGTCTAAAGCAAGGGTTCCCTTATATTTCTGCTTGGTTGTCAAAACATTTTTCTACGTAAGGATTTTTTTTAAAAAAGTGTCAATTCCTTAATGTAGACAAGTTGAAGCCTATTTAACATAAAAGTGAACACACTGATACCAGATCAGGGCTACCTAATCGAAATACTTTGGAAGAGACTGGCACAAGTTAATGTTAACAATGAATCACTGTCATACGATCTGCCAAGTACATACTGAGCAAGAACTTTCTAAGGCTGAAATTTTGATTCGCTACAAATAATGTGTGTGTCTGGAGCAGGGGACTTGGAAAAGGTAAGGTGTCTTGAACAGCGGGAGAGAGAGAGAGAGAGAGAGAGAGAGAGAGAGAGAGAGAGAGAGAGAAAGAGATATATATATATATATTACAAAGACAGAGGGGTAAACACAGGAAGAAAAAGAGAAGGCAACCAGATTCACTCAATACAGGTTATGAGAGGCTTCCTTGGAAGACCCTCACACCCTGTAGCAAGAGAGCAGGGCCCAGGGTCACACACAAGGGTAGGCTAACACACAAGTACACAGATTAATTGTAAATTAGTTAGGAAAAAAACCCAAATTTAAATAAAATAATAATAATGGTTTAAAACAAAACAAAACAAAACAGAAAGAACCATGCAAACGTTCCCAGCTTTCAAATTAACTGGCTGCTACAGAGTTATCACCTAGTACATAAAAAGCATTATAAAGCAGCAACTCAGCCTTGTCTGCCCTGGACTTTTTAAAGGTTTAACTTATTTTGTTTTATGCAAAGTATCATGGGGAATCTTCACATCCCTGGGAAGGCTGTATTATTCTTCCAGGAATAAACCATGACCTACTTTCTTCTATGTGCTGGGGTTTTTCCCCCATTCCATACACTTTTTAAAAACTAGCTTTCATAGCACAAGTTGGGCTTTTATTTTTCTCCTCTTAATCATCCTTAGGCTAGCTGGTGGGTTCAGGGTCAAAGGGCATGTGAAAGGTCAAAAGGAAAAGGAAATGCCTACTTACACTTCACCTGGAGAATCTGGTCACTGAGATTAGCTTGAATGTAGTATGTTCTGTAGGGTGGCAAGACCAAACCTAGGCTGGGTAGGAGGAGGAAGAAAATACAGTGTTTTAAAAATGGCTGTGCCAATGGTTACAGATAAGTTACTCTAGATGCCAGCACTTGATGGCTTAAGACTCTGGAAAGAAAAAGAATAGGGAGGTAGAATACTGATCATCCAGCACAGTATTTTTGTGAGCAAGTCACACAAATGAGCAAATGCCAGGATGGCAGGAATGATCCACTGCTGCATTTTATATTCACCATCATTTCCACAAACGGAATAATTCAGGACATAGTAGAACCTGCTGGAAACACCATGGAGCCAAATGCTCCCTACTTTTACCTCCAGTTGTTTCTCTGGGTTAACTCATCAGATCTGAGAAAACCACAATTGTGCATGCCTACAAAACAAGACAGCTTCTGCTATGTTTCTGTAATGTCCTTTCTTCCTGGTCCCTGGCAGAGCTTGAAGAAAAACATATATATTCCCTATATTCAATGCAGGAAATGAGAGGTTTGAGGAGATGAAAGCTCAGATTAATAGAAGTGTGCTCAACCACAAAGCCCCATCTGGAGTTCCATAGGACCTAAGTGTCAGACAGGGCAGTAACTCTCAGACGCAATAAGTCCTTTGATTGGCTTTATTTTAGAAAGTCAGTAAAGTTGCAGACAAGTCAAACTCTCTGACAGAACTGAGGGACATTACAGAATTAGGAACTACAAGACTTTTGGTCCAGCCTCCATACACACATCATGATTACATATTAATTAGGCAGGTTAATACAGTTCAATTAACTTGGTGAGAATGTTTATCAATTGATACTCTCCTGAGGCCATGAGAAATGAGAATAGCGAAAAAATTCCCATAGCCTTTACGGGGGAGGCTCCACTTCACAGTATTACACAAGCGCAGCTGTCTACGTTCACACAGGCCTGTCTCAATCTCTCCTTCTCAGGAATGTCAGAGGAGGATCCTTGCTGACAGATTGAAACAAAGCTAGCAGGTGCTACATAAGGCTTGGGAACTACAAGCGGGGAGGAAATGGCTAAAGCAATAATGATAACACGCAGCAGAGCAAAGCTATGTATATCAGAGACTCAGACATGCATGTATACTGACCCAATGATCAGGCAAGGGTTCGATTCTGACACTAAGGCTAGCAATGACTGGCCATCCATCTGCAGAACATATCTGGAGACCAACATGTCCTCCCCCCTCCAGTAATTCTTAAGAAAGGGAGAGTATGGAGATACACGAAGTATATGACGCATTCTATGCCCTGGCTTTCTAGGACAGTAAGTCCTCATGGGCTGCTCAACAGAAGATCTTGCTCAGGCATATTTGTCCTTTGGACACTGGGCATCCCAATTTATTTTGTGCATACCCATGTCTTCTTATGTTTCCTCGTGGGCTTATTATGATTCTTTAGCAGACTGCTGGATTGGACAAGCTGGGTCAGGGAGTTATAGGTCTCTATAGTGCCAAACCAGCTGCATTAGAAAATGCTGGGGGGGGGATATATATATATATGTGCAATAAACAGCTATGCAACTAGATGGCAGTCTCAGTCAACACTGATAAGCTTCAGAACTCAAACACCAGCTACATGAAGGAGCCCAATACTGTTAAACAAGACACAAAATACACAGACTGAAATCCATGATTTAAAATACACAGTTGTAACTTGGGAAGGGTATCATGTATCATGCATGCTGCCCTCCCACAATGTATTTCTGAGCATCTTAAGAAATGGTTATGTCATAATAAAGTGAAATGCCCAGGTTCTCAAGGACAAACATGCCTGACTGTGGTCTTACAGCATTCAGGAGATCAAGATAAGGATATTTCCCCTCATGTAAGTACACCTCTTCTCTTGCCTGTCATTCACTCATTGTGTCTGAAAAAGTCTTTCTTTGACATACTTCGATGCTCCATTAGCTTTTGAACTAACCCTATTGGAAGCATGTTGAATACTATGCAGGTCTAGAGCTTATTATGAAAGGCGTGGTCTTCAAAATACTATAATGGCAATATGCCACTAAATCCCAGTCTTACATAGACTGATGTGAAATCAAGTATACTTCCTTATGCATGGGAAATGTTCTTCAAAATCATGCACAAAGCTACATCACTGCCCCTTATAAATCCTATGAAATAGCAGCTCTATCAGCTTATCAAGGGGTATTATTGCCAGCTCCTGGCTTTTAATCACTAAGGAAGAGATTTTAGAAGAATCTGAAAAGCAAGTTCAAGAAAGTCAAACTTTTCGGTAAAAATACTTTTTTTTTGCTTCTTTCCTGCTGGAACAAGAAATTATAGGGGGGAAATACTATGTAAGTACAACCCTTGCAGAGTTATACCCTTCTAAGTCTATTGAAGTCAATGGGTTTAGAAAAGTGTAACTCTATTTAGGATTACACTGCAAGTAAACAAGTAAAATGATCTCCATCCCACAATACTGTGTGCTTATGGTGACCTCAGCAAGGGGCTTTTAAGGCAGGTGAGAAGCGGAGGTGGTTTGCCAGTGCCTTCCTCTGCAGAGTCTTCCTTGGAGGTCTCCCTTCCAAGTACCAACTCAGCTTAGCTTCTGACATCTGACAAGATTGGGCTATACCATGCTGACTTCCCTTCCCCCTCCAACATTAGAAACCTTAATATTTTTCAGTCTGGATAACAGTGATAGAGTCCAGTCAAGATATTCACATTACAGGATACCAACAATATATTGGAGACTCAGTCCAGCAAGCACTGCACCTCAGTACAGTTAGCCATAATTTCAGTGAGGCGTAGCTGAATTCCTTTGCAAGTCACATTGTAATGCGGGGAGGATTTGCAACACCAATGCTGGGTATATTGTGCTTGTATAGTGCACAGAGCCTGAACCAATCACAGCTCTCCCAATTCTCAGCCACAAAATCAGCTTTCTTATTCCCTAACTATCCAAGAGAAACAGGGAAGGGGCATAACTCCCATCTCCTTCTAGCTAGGTACTTACCTGTAGTTTGTGCTTTTGATAGGGGCCCAGGTATAGGTCCTGTACACTTCATCTATGTATCTCTGGAAGTTCAATGGTGAAGAGATACAGTCAGTTTTCAAACATGCTGTAATTATATTTTTGATGTATACAGACCTCACTCCAAAACCCAGCCAATATTTCCATGCAACTATTCAGAGGAGAGATCATAGTTCTGGGACAAAGCACAAGCTCAACATGCAAAAGACAGTCCCGTACATCTCTGCTTAAAGGGATCTCAGGTAGCAAGGCTGGGAAAGGTTGGACAGTAATGCTAGTCAGAGAAGAGAATACTAGACTAAGTGAGCAAACCCAATTAATGGTTCTTATGACCAGGAAAGTGTTCTTAGGATATCCCTGTAAATAGATCAATGGTCTATGGGTCAAAGTTCATGTGAACTTGTAGATTCATGACCAGATCACCTAAAAGTAATTTAGTTATAAAAAGCAGATGTGGGAGGGATATGGATCAGTGCCATCGTGCCGCGGAAGGAGAGTTTATCTCGCCCTCATATACCATTTTCCAGAATCAAAAACAGTCCCCGGCTGCTTTAAGCCCTGTTGAGATAAAGACAGGTGTCTGTACTTGTGCCTCCATAGGACCTTAAAGCAACTTGGGAAGTACTTTTTGACTGGGAATGTGAGATGGGGGGGGAGGTAAACTTCCCCTTCTCTCTCCTACTACTGCATTTTGAAACTAAATTACATAGTGGGGGGGAGGGATCTGATAATGGACCCCCAAAACCGCATGCATTCAGGGACAATCTATGCAAGTATTTTCTCCAACAGTGCAACACACTTGGTTCACTCTGTTTAATCTGGCCGGCTTTCCTTCCAACTACTTCCCTTCCCATGTTTTCACCATCCCAGTCCGGTTCCAGAGTTAATTTGTGAAGATTTTTTAAAACGTAAAACACAATTGCAGAGCCAACAGTTCATGTACAGGCTTTTCAAAGCACTTTTAATACCCCTGGATAAAAGGGCGGTCCATGGGGGTAGTTGGTGATGTCTTGCCTATCCCTGGTTGTACAGCCACTACATGCCCTGTAAAGTTCTTTACTTTTTAATAGACTTCAGCATTTTTGTTTTTTAAAAACCTCTCTCTTCTTTGAAAGAGGAAGCAGGAAGCAGAAAAGAGTGAGAGTGAGGCTGACCCAGCACTAGTATAAGCAGCAGCAAGTACCCTTCTCTTAGCTGTGATCAGCTGGCCTCTGGGCAGAGCTGTCCCTCAGTGTTGTCCCTCCATGTCTGACAGCTGCAGCAAGCAGGGCCCCAGCAAAGTTGGCAGCATGGCCGCAAGCAGTTGCTGTGGGGCTGCGCAGGGGTCTGAAGCACAAGGGAGAGGGCACCCTCCAGAAGGGAAGATTTCCAAGGGAAGATTTCCAACAGGCATAATGCCAGGCCTAGAAGTCCATTTTTTTTAAACCTTAAGTTCATTTGTGCATGTGAGCAGATGCAAAATGATCAAGATTAAAAAGTTTGTCTGTCTGACATGCCACAGGAGCAGATGCCTGAGCTGGAACAGAAACATACTTGGGTGTCCACTGACCTGTCTTGGAAGAGCTTAGAGAGGGAGGGGCCTTGAAGAAGAGGAGGTTGATGGGGCAAGGGTGGCTGTGTTGGAGTGAGTGACTCAGCATGCCTGGACATGGGGCGGGGCGCTACATCACTCTAAGTGTGTATAAGTGTTATCTCCTTGAATGGGATGCCTGTCTTAACCTGGGAGCTTCCCCCCTGACCCCTCCTCTCGGTCTCTTCACACGGCCTTCCAGGGAGACACACATGTCTCTGCAGGTCTCGCCTGTGGATACAATTGCCCTCATACGCCCGCACACATGAATGCCGGACAAGCTGGCCATTTGTGATAGGGAGAGTACTCCTTAGATTAGGCTTCTGTCTCTTCCTTTCGACTGCAGCCTGAATGTGAACTGGATCTACTTGGATAAATGCAAGTTTACCTTTTTTTGCAATATACTTCTCGGGAGATTTATTTACTGTCCTCAGTGTCATGCTTCTATGACTGGGCAAACTCTGCTATATATTAACAAAATATCCCAATAGGCAGCTCTCTTCACCCCTGTGTGCCTGGCTTCTAACCCCACCCCTACGTCATGCCACTAGCATTCTGTCTTAGCTTTGTCAGCATCTTCCAGCTTTGGAAAGGAGTGGAGACTTCATGTGGATCACTCCATGCTAGTCTGCAGTCAGCAGAGCATACATAACCCCTTCATCCAGCTCATGCCTATCCTGCTGATCAGTCTAGTCCCCCCCCCAACCCCTTAGCTATAGCAGAATCCATGGCAAGGAATTTGCAACAGTTTCAGGCACCCCCCTTAATTCCTCAGTCCCTCTACCTTGATTCTGCCCTCACCACTTTGCCTTCTGGTACCTCCTCTTTTCTGGTACCTTCTACTTTTGCTCTTGTTTTAGGAACAATGGGTTGCATCCCACAGAAGATTTCTGTAGACAGATGGATGGCAATTTTTACTGATTCCCCCATCCCATAGCAGACCTCTGACTCCCCCCCCTGCTGTTCCGGGGGGGGGCCCTAAAAGTACTGTGGGGCCTAGGCACTGTGCCTACTGGATAGGTTGACCCTGGGGAGAAGCAAATAAATCATGATCTACTGAAGAAATGGCTTCTATTTGCATAAATATATCTAGTTCTCAGTGTAGCAAAACCTGAGGATATTTAAATCTGGGGACTGGAGCCATGGATCTTTTTACAAACCTGGACAATGTCCCAGGTTTGCAGAGAACTCTGAAATCTAAAACAAAACACAGAGTTGGTTCAAATCTCCCCAGGGGCGGATTAACCATTAAGCAGACTAAGCATGTGAAAAGAAAAAAAAAGAATGAAAATTTGTAAAAAAAAAATGATAAAACTAGTGCAAATTGATCATGGTGCATCCTAGGGTTATCTTCTATTTTTTGTTGGCGAGGTGCAGTGTCATAGGCTATGTTTAAAAGTAAAATGCATGTGTTTAAAAGTAAAACCATGGAGCCAAATTCAGTTGTCATGACAGTCATTTCAATGACCCTCTCTGCCCCTTTTTAATTTCAGCCCTATGTAAACGTCAAAAATGAAGCGTGTTCAGTTGAGTGGTGTGCAAAAGAGAAAACGTGCAAAACAGAATGAGCAAAAGAATCTGTCTGTTGTAGCCAAGACAGGAAAGCTGACAGATTTATTCTTACAAACTGCAGAGAAAGATGATCCAGATCAAAACCAGTGTCAGTCTTCAGAGACAGGAAGTGAATCAAATCTATCTCCTTCATCAGAAACAGGCAGTGTTGGTGCAAGGCCAGATTTTCATGATGACGTTGCACACGATGAAGTGCCACAACCTGAACCTACTTCCATGACAAGATGTGCAAATGTTTTTGAACTGTCCAAAGAGTTTAGAGAACTGACCAAGGATGAAATGAACAAAGCTAAGGACCCAGGGTTGTGGGACCCAGTGAATGTCAGCACCACAATGGGCCATTTGACAAACCGTGTCGCAATTTCATCAGTGAGAATCCAAAGATACTGTTCACAGAAGATATTTTTTGGAATAAAAGCCAATGGTGAACACTACAAGAGAGAATGGCTGTTGTACTCTCCTTCAAAAGGATCAGTTTACTGTTTTGTTTGTAAACTATTTGCGCCCAAAGGTAAAAGGTAAAGGTTCCCTTGCTCGAAAGCCAGTCGAATCCGACTCTAGGGTTGCGGTGCTCATCTCCGTTTCAAAGCCGAAGAGCCAGCGCTGTCCGAAGACGTTTCCGTGGTCATGTGGCCAGCATGACTAAACACCAAGGCGCACGGAACGCTGTTACCTTCCCACTGAAGTGGTACCTATTTATCTACTTGCAATTTCTTGCTTTCGAACTGCTAGGTTGGCAGGCATTTTGTTAGAAATGAGGGATTTAGTGACTGGCGAAACACTGCTGTAATTGACAACCATGAAAAAAGTACAACTCACCGAGATGCCATGTTGACATATTTAACTTGGAAACAAGGCTTAGGCTTGACACAGCCACTGGAAAAACAAATTGAAGAGGAGTACAATTACTGGGAGAATGTGCTTCGGTGTGTTGTAGCAGTCATTTGCACACTGGCTGAATGAGGATTGGCATTCTGAGGAAAAGTGGAAAAATTTGGGTCTCTCAATAATAGGAATTATTTGAGGCTACTCGAATTGATAAGTCGGTTTGACCCATTCTTGGCTGCTCACATATCACAGTATGGTAATGCTGGAAAAGGCAACCCTTCATACCTGTTCAAAACGATATGTGAGGAACTTATTGAGTTAATGGCAAAGAAAGTGCACCCCATCATCATTGATGAAATTAATGTTTCTGGGTACTTCAGTCTGTCTGTGGACTCAACGCCTGTTCTTTCACATGTTGACCAACTGAACATAGTGCTAAGATACTTGCAAGATGGACAGCCAGTTGAACAATTTATCACATTTTTGGAATTACAAAATCACACTGGTAAAACCATGGCACAGCAGGTGTTGAAGTACTTATGTGAGGATTGTAAATCGGATTTTGATAAATGCAGAGGCCAGTCATATGACAATGCTGCCAACATGTCTGGACGTTACAATGGCATGCAGCAAAACCTTTTGGATGCAAATCAGCTTGCCATTTATGTACCCTGTGCAGCTCATTCACTAAATTTAGTTGGACGAAGTATTGTGGATTGCTGTCAAGTTGCAGTAGATTTCTTTTCCACTGTACAACTGCTCTGTACAACATATTCTTTTCAGCCTCAACTGCTCGGTGGAGAATTCTCAAAGATTGCATTGGAAATGAAAAAGTGTTGAAATCACTTTCAGACACCAGATGGGAAGCACATGCTGTGGCAACTGCAGCAATTATCAACTCTTTCTGCAAGATTCTGGAAGCTTTGGAAGATTGATCAGATGACCAGTTGCAAAAAGGTGACACTAGAAGGGAGGCAAAGAATATTGCAAACAAGATGCAAGAACTGGAATTTGTGTTCATGCTGAATTTTTGGAATGAAACTTTAGAAAAGTTTCATAGAACAAGTCAACTTCTTCAAAGTGAAAATGTGATCTTGCAAACATGTGCAGATTTGTATTCATCATTGGCAGACCAGTTGCACACATCAAGAGATGAGTTTGAGAGATTTGAATCATTTGCAAAGGACATGATCCCTAATGTAGAATACAAAGCAACTCAAACACGTAAGCGTATAAGAAAGAGAATGCCCAACGATGGAAATGCACCAGAGATCATTCTCAGTGCCAGAGACAAATTCTGTATCTCCACTTTTTATGTAATTGCTGAAAAGTTAGAAATGGAAATGAGGAGGAGACTAAAGGTGTACACTAAAATAGCAGACAGATTCTCTTGTCTGACAGATGTTCCTAATGCCACCCAACAAGGTCCTAATTCCCAATTATCAGAAAGTGAAAGGTATTCAAAGACTTGTCAGACACTCATTGATGCTTATCCAGATGACATGAACAACACTTTGTCTACAGAGCTTCAGCAGTTCCATTCATATGTTCTTCATAAGTTTAAAACAACCAAGAAAACATCTTTCACTCACATGGAACTGTACAACACAATTATAGAAGACAAACTAGAGAGTGCCTTTCCAAATGTTGAAATTGCCTTAAGAATATTTTTAACATTAATGGTCACCAACTGCACAACAGAGAGGTCTTTCTCACAACTGAAACATGTAAAAAACCCAAATAGATCAATTATGCTTCAAGAAATATATATTAACAATTGAAGCAGACATTCGGAGAGGTGTTAATTTTGAGGATGTTATCAGTGATTTTGCGAAAGTGAAATGTAGAAAAATGCCTTTCAGGTCATGAATATTGGAACTTTGATACATTTAACTTGTGAAATATTAAAATAGATGTTGTATTGCATTTTTGTAGAACTTTATGTAGCCCAAGCTTGGCTTAGTTTGTACAGTATATTGTGTTATCATATGAATAAATTTTTGTATTGCTGCAACCTGCATTGTATATGTGGTCAGACAGGTCAACAGTTAAAATGGATGGGGTCAGTGTGGAAAGGAGGGGGGCACCAAGATTGGTCAGTGCTTAGGGCACCAGTGAGCCTTAATCCGCCCCTGAATCTCCCAAAATAGTAGAAGCAGTGCCTATAGCTTTAAGAAATGAATGGCTGCAGTGTCCATTGCTAGGCATCCACAACAGTATTGCCAGCCTTCCAGCCTTTGTTTCTGTCAATAAAAGGCAGGGGGTAAGGAGGGGCCATTTCCAGGATTATTTTGGCCTCTGAAGGGAGTTTTCAGGGAAGAGAAAGAGGAAATAGTGGAGGATGGGAAATGTGATGTCTCCCCACAAGTCCTTGTGGGTCCCTCACTTGTAGAGACATATTAAGTGGTGTGTGCAACCACCATTTCAACTATTCTTCCATAGCAAAAGAACAACGGCACAGAAACTGTAAGAGAGCTGTACCTACTGTGCTTCTATATAAGCAGCCTCATAGGTTTATGTTTACTCACAAACGGAATACACCTTTTTCCCAGTAAGAATGAGGCTAACTTAGTCCAGTCTTTTAAAATCCGGCTGAACAGCACATCCTTCTTATACTAATGTCCCCAGGTCTTCAATGATTTTTTACCTCATCCTGGGACTTGACCAGAGTCTTGATGTATCTCTGCCCTTCGTGTCCATCTATCATGCTTCTTCGAATCTGGAGTTAAAAAAAAAAAGAACATAAAAGGAGATACCTTAAATGGCTGGGCACCACAGGTAACACAGAGATATACCTCTTGTTCTCTTTATCTCTCAAGGAAAATGGGTCAATATTATGAGTGAGGCAATAAAAACTCAGCAGTCTTAGAAACATAGAATCATAGACATGGAAGGGACCTCCAGGGTCATTTAGTCCAACTTCCTGCACAATGCAGGAAATTCACAAAT